GTCGCTGGAATAGACTTGCCAGTCATTTAAGTCATCGCGGTGTGTTTGCTGCCGATGACGTCGTGGTTACCTACAATCCTTGTATTCGATGCTTGTTTACAGACTTGGGGCTGGATATTGTATGAAAAACGAGGAAATTAACCATTCCACGAACGGCATGTATTATTTTCTGTTTTGTATTCGTGATCAGGTACAGTAATATTTTGTAACGTATGCAATTTGCTAAAAATTTCTGAATCGCACAGTGGAAAATGATTTTAGGCAAGTACCTCCTCGACGATAAAAGAAATTTTTTCATTATTTCACTTTATTGACTAAGCCAACATTTGTTTTACATTGCATGCTTTCATAGGAAGCATAATATTGACGCAACTCTTAGTGAATTAATAGAACGATAAATTTTCCGCCTGCACCAACATTTTGCATGTGAAAGCAATGAGTGAACACTGAAAGTAGGGCTGTCCAATCATGAATTCTAATGTATGATCTCATTGCAAATTAATTCACAATGATTTCAATTCATGTCGTACGTTGTTTTTATTACATTAGTATTGCTGTTCCGCGAATTTCTGTTCCTGGTTTTCCTTAACCTGGGATTTTTGGGCTTGGCCCCATGGAGCGAACTGAGTGGATTGTGTTGATTTGTGTATTGATTAAAAAATGATAATTGGATTGCTTGATATTTAGCTGTTGCTTGCATTGATTGCGCTCTAATATAGGATAAGTGCATCACTTAACCAGGATATTGATATGTTTCATAGATATTTTGAATCAATAAAAATGAACATTAAAATAACGTATTTATTCAATGTCATTTAGAAGTTTACTTCCGGCTGCAATACACTGCTGCATTTTTGTTATCGAGTCTTTTTTCTTTGAATATTTGTGGTTATTTTGTCTCGGTTCTTAGGCTAACGTCAGTGAACTATTGATCATGCGTTCTTTAGATCACGTGTCTCCTGGATCACGCGTCTCCTAGATCACGCGTCTCCTAGATCACGCGTCTCCTAGATCACGCGTCTCCTAGATCACGCGTCTCCTAGATCACGCGTCTCCTAGATCATGCGTCTTCCACCTAGATCACGCGTCTTCTACCTAGGTCACGCGTCTTCTACCTAGGTCACGCGTCTTCTACCTAGGTCACGCGTCTTCTACCTAGGTCACGCGTCTTCTACCTAGGTCACGCGTCTTCCACCTAGATCACGCGTCTTCTACCTAGGTCACGCGTCTTCCACCTAGATCACGCGTCTCTCCTCCTTTGTAATCTGCAAGTTCACCATTTTTTTATTTATTCATTTTATATCCTAAAGAATTATATTATTACTCTGATTGATTTCGTTACACACCCACATAACATTATTTCACGTTATTGTGTCTTTATTGGGATGATGGGGAGTTACTTAATATTATTAAGTAATTGATTCATCGTCTCATTGCAGGTAAATTTCAAAAAAGGTCTTACCGATATATCTGAAATAAGTTCCTTCGGCTTCACGCGATTCACAAGTAAATTGACTTGCTTGATCTCATGATAAAGATTGTTACCAGTCGATAATCTACTATCAAAAACGTCAGCGTTAATTATAAGATAGGTATGACGCGAAACATTAACAAGATTCAAACACATGGCAGCGGGTACGAATATAGTAGTTAATATACAGATTGTCTGGTGACTTACTTCATACATGAATTTTTTGTGGACGTACAGTCATCGCACGCTCAGAACTGCTATAGCATCTGCAGTTCTTTCGTACAAGTTTCATGCGAGGCTACATATGATCAAGAGACGCTCGATTCATTTAAAATTACAGTAAGAGCGAGCATCTGCATTTATTTGCCCAACTGCTCTATTGCTGTTTGTTTGCATGGCATATTTCATCCGTGTATATCATTAATTTACAAGAAGAATGTCGACGGAATCCATTCAATAATCAGTAACGAACTCAACTTAGAGAAATATGTTCTACGTTAAGCAACTAGTCAAATATTTTCCAAAAACTCGTTATTAATAATTGAAAGCAGTTCTCTTTATTCTCGTCTTTCCATTCAAAATTTAGTGAATAGTAATTTGTTGTTCCTTGCGGAATTTGATGACAAAATTACGCTTGAACGTCAACACTTCATTTTAGTATCGGAAAATTCTCGGAAATTTTACGCGTTCACGTTAATATTATTAGTGATTCTCAAATCTTATAAACTTCGTTGTCTATTAGTAAGTTTTCTTTATTTAATAAAGGATTTCTGTTCCCAGTTTTGGAAGGCCTGCGATGTTAGATTTTCATGAACTACCGTCACTGTCGTTGGTTAACTTCATTAAGCTCCTGGAACGCCATTAAAATTGACATTAATAGTTAAGGATGAATTATTAACAATTTCTTGGAGAGTTCACGACATACTATTTACAACTATCCACGCTAGTATTATAATTACTATCCACACTACGTAATTTGCTGTTTAAAATATATTGTATTTCTTGTTGCAGATGAAGTGATAAAAATACATATGTGATGAAAGTTTTGTCTTTAGTGGGACATTCATCTCGAAAAGTCATACCTGGTGTGAATTACAATCTTTATTGACTCTTATATGATTTCTTTATTGGCGCCCACTTCTATCAGCACACTTCTTAAGCACTTTATGACCCAGGTTGTGAGGTAACCTGTCTGGAAATTTCCACTCAAGACATTTCAATTGCACAGCACTGTGACTCTTGCATCCTCCTCAACCTGACGCCTTGTTGCTCGAGTGTTATACAAGGTGTGTGTGTGGTCCGAGTGTATTAAAGCATACAGCATGTTGGGGAATGTGTGCGTGTGACCTGTTAGTGTCATTTGAAAATACAGCGTGTTCGAGAACGTGTGCTCGTGACCTGTAGTGTCATTTAAAAATTCAGCGTGTTAGAGAATGTGTACGTGCGTGTGACATGTAGTGTCATTTGACCATAGAGCGTGTTTGAGAATGTGAGCTTGTATCCTGTAGTGTCATTTGACTATACAACGTGTTAGGGAATGTGTTAGTAGACCATTATACGTGACATTTAACAATTTTGTGAGACAAATAGGCTATCATTGCCGAACTTCATCGTAAAGAGTTTATCACGATTCTGGCAAAAACGGTCTACGGAACTTGTTTGTATACGTCGCCACGTTTATTTATATACCTATTAAGAAAATCTTATAATTCAACGCTTTGTAATACTAGGAACTAATGGACGCTTGATCTTACTGAGCACTAATCATTTGCCTAAACGTATGCTAGTAACTGTCAATCGATATAAAGATCAATTTGTTATCGATTTAAGATCAATTTGTTATCAACTCTTAACGTCAGATTCTGTACATAGGTAATTGTATTGGTGGGTGATAAAGGAGGATTCTACTTATGACTGAGTCGTGCTTTACATGTCTGCATAACGAGGCTCCAAATGTACAGCGTAGAACGTGCAAAGATCGGTTTTTCTCGCATGCGAAGTGACCATAACATTTAGTCTACATCTGAATGAATGTTATGATTTTTTCTCTATATTTCAATGAATGTTGTACCACTTACGTCCACATTTGAACGCATGTTGATTTGTAAGAGCCCAGCATAAGAAATGATGGTGCTTTGTATGCTGTATCCTTGAAACTTCAAGCCTTGTACGAAGCATCGTGTTGATAAAAAAAAATCAACGTGGTAAATGTCCTGCTTAAATAAATGTATGGTCCATCGATGTAGTAATCGTCAGCAATTTTGTTTGGGTCTGGAGGCTCGGTAAGCAGGGTTAACGTCACCAGAGAAGGTTTCGAATCTTAGCTCACTCGTGCTGGCAGTTTTTTTTACACAAATTTCAGAAAATCAAGTTGCAGCTGAAACATTTTCTGGTACATCAATAAGTGGTTCACGTCTGTTCGTTGTCTGAACTAACCAATCTCAGTTGATTGTGTGCATGGGCGTGGTTTATTGTCGTTTTTTTCACTGTTGACACTTTTTCAGCTTGCTTATCATTGGTACGACAAAATATAAGCGGTTGCTTGTTAGTTAGGCTTAGAGCAGCAAACTTCTTGTGAATTTTCATTTCTGCGCGATGGTGATACGTTATGTTTTATGTTGTACTTCACCTGTAAACAATTATCGGTGCATGATGGAGGAATGTCGTTTCGTACACGAGGTGACATGTAAAGTTCTGATCGACCCATGACCGCTCAAGTCTCCTGGTGATTAAGCAAAAAAAGTGGCAAATTTCTTCCAAAAGTGGTCAATATCAACCTTATGGTCGATATTGACTTTTTACCCTCTTATGTTCGTTTCTCATTGCTTTGAATTATTAGTGAAAATGTCAATTTTTTATCCATTAAACTTCGCTCTTATTTAATTTTAATTAGTGTTTTCACAGTGAAACAAAACTTTTAAAATGTCCACTTTTAAAGGAGTCTTCACGTTCGATTAATTTAACTCCTTAAAAAGTTCTGTTGATGTGAACCCAAACCGCAGTTCTGTTTGAGTTCGTCGCTTGACTTGCGTCACGGAAAATTATTTGTTTTTGTACAGACATCCTGTGCGCGAACGAGCTGTGCGCTATTGAAGGTCATTTTAAAATATTCTCTTATGAAGAACTTCCGTCTTGAATAACATTCATGTAATAAGTTTAAAATTTCAGTCGTGGAAAAAAGTTTCTTCAGTTGTCTTGGAATTGTCGCTCTCGATTTCAACATTTCAGATAAGAACTATTGTGAGAATTTACGATGTTCATAAGAAAGCAACAGCTAATTTTTGTGAATTTATTTGGACTTCTGTCATTGTGAATTGAAATACTGGGCGCATTTGAGGCTGAACAATTGTGCAGAATTCATTTCAAACTTTTTTGATTCCCAAATATTATCAACAATCAAATATTGAGAACAATCTTTTACTTTATTTGCAGGAATAATCTTAGTTTAAACTTTTTTTTCGGCCTATAAAATATAAGTTCGAAATTTAAGCAGGAAAATAGTAGAGAAATTTCAGATTCTAGTCTTGCGAGATTGTCAGCTTTCCAGCTCGCAGCAGATGAACTTTTCACGACTAACCTAATGAACTTAATATGCACTGAGAAGCAGTGAACATTCATTGACCATTTGATCAAGAGAAAGTTCATCAACATCGAGAGACATCTTTCGTTCAAGAAGAGAAGTGTGTGTAGAATATGATGTGTCTTTCAACCTGATGGCTGATTTAGCCAAAGCATAACTCACTGAAGCTGCTAAAAAAAACCTCGGAGATGTCGTCGGATCACAGGTATGTTTTAAGAGATATTTTTTTCCAACTCGGTGCACGTAATTTAGACTTAGTTGTCCCATTCCTGGCTGAACTTGTGTTTCCCGGAATATATACCACTTTTTTAATTCACTTTCAAAATCCCCTTCACGTATAAACTTAAGCATTTACAGTGTTATACAATTTCATATAATTTTATGAACAAAAAATGAAATCATAAGATATAAATGTAATTATAAGATTTACTTCTCGTTATATGCATAGTTTTTAATTATTTGCGGAAATGGTTGAAAAAATTTAATAAATCACTTCAAATCAATTAGTTATGCCAATTCTTGCTGGCCATTGAGGTGGCACCAAAAAAAATTCTTCCGAATAATTGAAATTGAATTTTAAAATATTTTCGAAGCTATTGCATGGCCGACGATCAGCCGCTAATGATTACACAAAACTTTTAATAATGATAGTTGCCGGTACTGTCGTTCTGTTGGTTGCCCACGTTAACCCGTTAACCCGTTGGTTGCCAAGTCGTTAACCCGTGTGCAAGTTAAGGATGTTGTTGTTGCATTTTGCATAAAAAGAAATATTGTACGGTGCATCATAATCATGAATCGCTTCTGAAAATTTGTTTAGTAAAAAATCGCTTGTGTTTCGAATTTGCCATTTATTCTCGAATCTAATTCGATTGGAAATATCTATTTGGTGCAGAGCTAAAATTTATTCACACTCACCATAAATAACTTTTTTTATGTTATTCGTTAATTGCAATCATCAGTTATTCGTTCAGTGCAATAACACAAGATTCGTCATACCCATCGCATGTTTTCGGATTTTTAGTCATCGTAAATGACATTTTTGCATTTATCTGTGTTCTAGATTTATCGAACTGACGATGGAGCTGGTCTCCAAAACGTTTTCAAAAGAGATATGCTAAATTTTTGTGGTGTTTTCTTCGCTTTTAAATTTCTAATGACATTTTTTATCTCGATTAAAAAAACTCAAATCTGCACAGCTTATCATCTCTACTGTACCCTGTAGGACTATGCTTCCAATAGACTTGCTTCCAATCCATCAACATCTATGGATCGTCTCCAACTCTAGTATAGATATCGATAAAACATTTTCATCCCTACCAAACATAACAAGAGGTACAATGGATTATAGAGAAATAAGCATTCGAATTAAAATCGTAAAACTCAGCAAGAAGTATTGGGCAGGCACTGCTCTATGTAGGTGTTAGCGTTGCTTTGATCTTTGATAGCGTTGCTCTGCCTGACGAAATAAATTGATAGAAGGTTCAACGTTGTTTATTACTGCTTTCCATGAAGTCACGGCTGGAAATGTGTAGTGATGGTTATTACTGCTTTTAATGAAGTCAACGTTGGAAATGTGCAGCGATATTTATTACTGCTTTTAATGAAGAAGTCACCGCTGGAAATGTGCAGCGATTTTTATTACTGCTTTTAATGAAGAAGTCACCGCTGGAAATGTATAGCGATATTCATTACTGCTTTTTATGAAGTCACCGCTGGAAATGTGCAGCGATATTTATTACTGCTTTTAATGAAGAAGTCACCGCTGGAAATGTGCAGCGATGTTTATTTCTGCTTTTAATGAAGTCTCCGCTGAAAATGTGCAGCGATGTTTATTACTGCTTTTGATGGAGTCATCGCTGGAAATGTGCAGCGCTATTTATTACTGCTTCTAATGGAGTCACCGCTGGACATGTTCAGCGATGTTTATTACTGCTTCTAATGAAGTCACCGCTGGAAATGTTTAGCCGTACTTGTGCCTGCTCTGTTTTCTCTTGCTTGCTTATAATACGTGTTGGTATGGCAAGATCGTGATTCATGTCACATTCTATGCCATGAACCGTGCGTGCCCGCAGCACCGGTCCCTGTTTTGTTTCCTAACAGGACACTGCGTTGTACCGCGTGGCCGCTACAAATCGTTGAAGCAAACATAACGCTTTGTTTGGTTTCAATTTTTGCATAACTTAGAGTTCTCGTCGCCTGTGTGCAATGGCTTGATTGCTGAACAAGTTACAGTTCAACGAAAAACCAGTCGTTTTGTTTTCTCAACAAAAATTGTATAAACTACAAGTATTTTCTCATATTGACATATCTTCTGACTGGATACTGAAGCTACACTGCCGCTGCTGCTGACGCTACACTGCAGCTGCTGCTGACGCTACACTGCCGCTGCTGCTGACGCTACACTGCCGCTGCTGCTGACGCTACACTGCTGCGACTGTTGACGCTACACTGTCGTTGCTGCTGACGCTACACTGCCGCTGCTAACGCTACACTGCCGCTGCTGCTAACGCTACACTGCAGCTGCTGCTGACGCTACACTGTCGCTGCTGACGCTACACTGCCACTGCTGCTACTGACGTTACACTGCCGCTGCTGCTGACGCTATACTGCCGCTACTGCTGACGCTACACTGCCGCTACTGCTGACGCTACACTGTCACTGCTGCTGACGCTACACTGTCACTGCTGCTGACGTTGCTAGCACTGTTGCACTGTTGCTAGCGCTATATTGCTATTGCTTCTCCTAACAATACACTGATACCAGTATTATCACACTGCAATTTGTCGAGGCCGGTCCCACTGAGCCGGTGTGGTCAGTTTTGCCTCATGCGCCGTCGGGAAGGCATGTCACTCTTGCTGGTCCGGAAGCGCAGTCAATACTAAAGCAAGAAATAGTTGGTCGTGTTGGATGTCATTTTGTGGTGATTCGAAAATATTTCTTGATAAGTGTTTTTTTTCCTTAACTTGAGTGACACTTATTTTGAACCAATTAAATTGTCATCACTCGCCTAAATGTATTTTTATATTGTTATGGGAAATGTATAAATTTTATTCATTACGAATAGGATGTTATATGTGGCTCAAATTCGCGTGATAGTTGAATAGTGGCTGCAAATTCCGCAGAGTTTCATGTGATTATCGGATAAGATTCATCCGACTTACAGAAGGCGCACTTCTTGCGTGCTCAATTTTCATGCCTGCATGAAATCGTTACTTCGAATATGTCGATTTGTTTCGTTAGCTTCAGAAATTTGAAAAAAACTCAATTCCGACTCGAAAAAAGTTTCCGAGGAATTATTTTGTTGCAAATAAGTTGGTGGATTCTGTTAATTTTAGATGTATGGACCGCAGCTTCATCTCAAAGATATTACGTAGGACTTTCATTACGAAAATGCGCCATCTTTCTTTTTTAATTCATTTAATTTTCATCGTGAAAATTCCTGACTGCTGAAATGCGGTGGGGCAATATGCACGTGTCTGGGGCAATATGCTCGTGTCTGGGGCAATATGCTCGTGTCTGGGGCAATATGCTCGTGTCTGGGGCAACATGCACGTGTCTGGGGCAACATGCACGTGTCTGGGGCAACATGCACGTGTCTGGTGCAACATGCACGTGTCTGGTGCAACATGCACGTGTCTGGTGCACTATGCACGTGTCTGGTGCATGCTCCTTCAGTGCTGACGACCGCTGCATTACGGCTGAGCGTCAGCCTCCAAAATGTTCATTATCGTCACTATTTCTTCTGCTTGGTGTGATTCCGATTTGATCTCATTATCAACTTGAAAATTTCTACTGTACGGAATTATGAAGATGGTGTGTAAGGGAAGGATATATCGTCAAGGTCATCTTGCTAGTGTGTTTCCATAGTCGGACTCGCTACATCGTATGAAAAGGCACTGTAACGATTACGATGTTATACTTCAAGACTGGCAGTAACGTAGGACCAATGCTGGCGTGATGACGGAATTTTACAATCTGAGTGTTGGTGTCATATCTAGAATCTCGTGTGGCTAACGGTCCACCCGCTTGCATGTTTCATGATATGCCTTCTAGCACTTGTAATAATTCATCTGAACTTCTACACTGAGCTGACATGCACGGAGCTATTCTTAGTTAGAGTGTTGTAATCGTTCATCCGGGAGCACGTTAACCCTCTACCGCCGTATGTCACTCTCCAGGAACATAACTTTCAACTTGAATTTTACGTAAACTATTGAATGTAGCAACCTAAGGACGTGTGTATGCAACAGAGAACATTTTAAAGTTGTCGTACGTCGCGGCAACCATCAGTGCAAGTCATTTTGCGCTCACTAGAACGTATCCTTTTTGGGAAGTAGGCTTGTGACAATATTGCTCCGGTTACTCATGTCAGGCGGTAGAGGGTTAAAGCCTAAAGAAATTCATTGTGAAATTCATAGCCCAGTATGACAGTATTGCTCTAATATGCCAGTATCGTTCATGTACAACAATATTACTCAGGTAAATTAGTTGAGTGGAAATTCTTTCATTATACAGCAGAAACAATGAAAATTGTGTCTAATATTTTCAACACTTACATTCGTAATTGCGAAGCACAGAAGTCATTGAATTTCCTTTCGTCAAAGCTAAATTTTAACCCCGAGCTTCTTCGTAGATTCTTGTGCAGCATTGCAGGTATCCGTGGGCGCGAGCTCTCAGCATGATCCATGCTGCAGTGATACAGTTATTCTAATACATTTTAAAACGCGCGGTGTGAAGATCACGCTATGTCCGCAGTGTCATTGTAATGTGAACTGCGCTACCATAGATAGCACGGCTTGAAGGCTCTGTAACGCTGTAAAATGTTTGTAAAGTTATTGGCTAGGTAGATTTATTGAACCTGGAAAATAGTCTGCTTATTGATTTATTGTATTATTTTACAGCTAAAATTTGATTCTGTATTTGCTGATAACTATTTCCAAAATCTTGCATTTCACTGTAATAATGCAGAAGAACTCGCATTAGTATTTTGCATTTTGCTGTAATATTGTTGATGAACTTTTGCTATCATGTCCCTGTAATACATGTATTGCAGGGGAACCTGGGCATTTGAAACAAATTCGTCATCTTACATGTTATAATCCTGTTCAGTTTAAGCTAATTTTCTGGCGCCGGAAAATACTGGCAACAACCTGCGTCAATACCGGCGTTGGTCAGGACGGTCTGAGTGCACCTGCGCTACAATGTTTGTGCTAAGCAGAGTTGCTTGCTTTGCACCGTAACACCTAAACAATTACACACTCGTGGGACCATTTTAACTAATAAACAAGCTAAACAAGCTTCTAAAATTCCTTTCTTTCGTCTGCACTAAGTCCTCTAATTTCTCAACATCTTCTTTCTAAAGTATGCAATTGTTTCATTGTATTTTAATCCATCCCCTATTTGCTTTTCACAGGCTTTGTTTTTCCACGTCTGGCTTTCCAATTTCCCTACTTCCTTTACCCGTAAAGTCTGCCTTCGTCGAGTTTCGCAATTGCTTGAACATATCTTCCGATCCCGCCCCATCATTTAGACTAACTGCTTCAACGTCTTCCTAATATCGACGTACAATGTTTTACCACACAACATTGATCAGAAAATTCATTTTCAGCCCACCAATTACGACAGACCACCAGTATTTCTTTAAAAACACGTCGTCTCCCGAATCATTCACTCCAACCACTATTTTTTTCAACATACTCCTTTAAGTAAATTTATTTTCTCTGAGAACTTTTCTTTTCTCCGAGAACAAAAAATTACTTCAATCAAACAATTCTTTCTTTCAACCCATTCCTTCTTTTAACCCACTCCTTTCAACCCGCTTCTTCTTTCAACCCACTCCTTCTTTCAACCCATTCCTTCTTTCAACCCACTGCTTTCAACCCACTTCTTCTTTCAACCCACTCCTTTTAACCCATTCCTTCTTTCAACCCACTTCTTCTTTCAACCCACTCCTTCTTTCAACCCACTCCTTTCAACCCACTCCTTCTTTCAACCCACTCCTTCTTTCAACCCACTCCTTCTTACAACCCACTCCTTCTTTCAACCCACCCCTTCTTTCAACCCACCCCTTCTTTCAACCCACCCCTTCTTTCACTCCTTCTTACAACCCACTCCTTCTTTCAACCCACCCCTTCTTTCAACCCACCCCTTCTTTCAACCCACCCCTTCTTTCAACCCTCTCCTCCTTTCAACCCACTTATTTGTTCAACCCACTTCTTCTTTCAACCCACTTCTTCTTTCAACCCACATCTTTTTTCAACCCACATCTTTTTTCAACCCTTATCTTTTTTCAACCCACCCCTTTTTTCCAACCCACCCTTTTTTCAATCCACCCCTTCTTTCAATCCACTTCTTTCAACCCTCTCCTCCTTTCAACCCTCTCCTCCTTTCAACCCACGCCTGCTTTCAACCCATTCATTATTTCAACCCACTCCTTTCAACCCACTACTTCTTTCAACCGAGTTCTCCTTTCAACCCAGTTCTCCTTTCAACCCAGTTCTTCTCCCACTTCTTTCAACCCTTTTCTTTCAACCCACGCCTGCTTTAAACCCATTCATTATTTCAACCCACTCCTTTCAACCCACTACTTCTTTCAACCCAGTTCTTCTTCCAACCAGTTCTTCTTTCAGCCCACTTCTTTGTTCAACCCACTTCTTCTTTCAACCCACTCCTTCTTTCAACCCACTCCTTCTTTCAACCCACTCCTTCTTTCAACCCACTCATTCTTTCAACCCACTCATTCTTTCCACCCACTTCTTTCAACCCTCTCCTTTCAACCCACTCATTCTTTCAACCCACTTCTTTCACCCCCACTCCTTTTCTCGGAAGCATTTTTTTCAACCCTGCATTGATCACAGCCCTCCACTCCCCACCTCCAGCCGCCCCCGCAGCTCACGCAGCACGCTCATGTCACGAGCCTTAAACTGCACTGCCTGTGCGTCATTTTGAGTAATGCATCATACATTTATGAATAGAGATTTGATTCATTCTTCAAAACTATTTGTACGATTTTTTTTTATTTCTTTACTCCATTCACAGCTTTCGCAATATGCATTCTACTATTCTACGGCGTTACCTGCAACAAGGGCAGTTCAGTTTGTATGATTGTATCGTGCTTTTTTAATCATGCCATTCCATAAAGTCGTTGAAGATTTTGTTCATGAATGACTCTTGACAATTGCCACGTTTAACTCTATTCAGTGAATTGAATTAAATGTGGGTCGATTTTACCAGCAAAATTTACGGATTTATGCGTCGACTAAAATGAGCTGGATTTGAATCTTAAACAATTGTCTGCACCGCGTAAAGTGCATAATAAGTTCATATTTAAATCTGAGGCGTTTACTGTGCAACGGTGGCGGCCTACTAATACTAGGGCATATACGGTACCAAGTTGGCAATTTTTGTTGAGAAAAAATTAATATATCATAAAATACTTCATTTTAACAAAGTAACGGAACAGCTGCGGGTCACTGCACCTCATGATGCAATGAAGCAGTGCATCTCACGTCATTTTTGTGGCACTGCACAATAAGCACATGTGAAGAATGCATGGTGCAGTGCTCTGCACCGTTATTATGCAGTGTTCTCAGCACCTCAATACTTAGTGGGCATTAAGGCATTGATCTGACCTAGCCTGACAGCTGGACGTGTGCAAGCCTAGGACACGATACATGATGCCTCATGCTCCAGCTTCATACTAAGGCTGCTAAAACCTCGCATGTAACTCACTGTTTAAGATATTAGCATTGCCTAAAGTTTCACATTATGTGCACTTGACCGCTATTTTTTATCAAGTTATTTGATGATCTTGCATGTTGTTGATATTGATTTTTTTCCTTGGTTGCGTGAACGAGTCTCCCATATGACAGTCTTCTTAAGAATTCTCTTCACTTACAGTCGCGTTGATTGCAACGCTAAAATCTATTATTAATTAAGAGTAGATGCCAGTTGTTTCTGCTATAAAAATATTTTTCACGGTTGTATGTTCGATGAAAGTGATGACGGACAGCCGTTCGCAAGATTCTTTTGTTTTTGTTGAAAAACGCGCCTCTCAGTCCAGCGCTGGGTCTCGTATCATCACTTCGACGTGACTTCGATTGCTGGCTAAATTTGTCTCCATTTCTTATTTTCTAATTCTTACTAAATTTGTTCCTGAACTTTGTTTTTTTTTTCACACGTAGGTGACTAGTTCTTTGTTGTTCTTTCATTCGCATTTGTCGTTTCATTCAATATATATTCATTTAAAATGAATTTGATCGCACTGACAGCGAATTATTTAATGACATTTCTTCAACGACAAGACGTTGCTGAAGCTTGTACTCATTCTGCTTAGTTTTCGCAAGAGGACAATAAACAATTTTAGCCACGTTCAGGTTAACTGCCAGCAGTGCTAAGTATTTTTATGCATTGCGCAGAAACTATATTCCATCTATACTGTGATATTCACTCATATTTTCCATCATTTCTCCATTATCTATCATTCAAAACATTTTCAAATGATGCCTGCTTCCGTCAAATTGTGAATTAATTTCTGATGTATGCATATAAATAAGTGCCTACACAGACGATTTCGAAAGTAACCGCTGACCGATAAAATCAAAGTGGTATTCCAACGTTGATTCGTGCATTAACAGGGACCTGGACAATAATAAAAAATAATAGAGGGGCGCATACTTCAGTATTATTGGTGGTGCCTCGATTTTTAGCTGTACCATAAACTGCGCGGCGAAATGACAAGTTGTCGTTCAAGATCGATATCTGGAGCTCTAAATCATACCTTGGAATTGCAAACTTTGTTTGTAGTTTCATCATCATCGACTTCTTCGCTCCGTAATTCTGGGCGAGTGAACGTCAATCTAATTAACGATGGTTTCAGTTCATCTTTTAAGCATGAACTTGATAGCTGACTTGGTGGAAAGTTTCTGAGTTCCGGCATGAGGAGGAAGAGAAGCGAGTATGGAAGGGGCGCGATGGAAGAGATGGCGACCTTCGCCGTCCGGTTCCTCTTCTGTCACGCCCCGAACCCGGCACTACTATCATCGTGACTACCCGTTCCCCAGTAGCAACACTCCACCAAACTTCGAAGAGCAAGCTAGCTTTTGCTCCCCTCCAGTCTACCGTTTTCCGTCTCTGGTCCAAAGCCGCAGAAGTCAGTATCAAGAGATCCCGCAGTCTGAGGCCCGGCGAGGTTCTTCTGTTCGTTTTAATGATGAAGTGCCTTCGCAGTTACAAAGATCTAGAAAAGAAAGTTTCAAACGAGACTTGTCACGGACTTCCAGTGAAGATGAAGCTTCACTTTCTGACAGTAGTGTTAGTTCCTCAAAGTTTGCTCCTCTTTTACCAATTTCTTCATCGAGGACAAGGGTACCGCCGCGTACGCCTGATGTTTGCCATGATTGGACTTCGAAACAATTACGTGATTATTTGGTACAGAAAGCCCAGTATCGATTAGAACTCTTGTCGTCATTCGATTCAGATTACGAGGAAACCGATTTATCATTTAGCAGCAATGAAGGGCACGAGACCGACGGAACTATTTCTGGTCCGAGTAGTTTAGTTTCAAAAGCTACTTGCAGCAATGAAGTACTCGGCGGGTCCGAAGGAACTATTACTGGTCCGAGTAGTCCCTTTACGGAAGAAACTTACGCTGATACGCGGCAAACTGTATATCGTGGAGTTTGTAGCACAACGGCGACGGATATTTACCGAGGAAACGTAGCTTATAAAACGTATATTGTTGCTCGCGGCGCTCACGAATTCGAACGTGTGGACGAGAGGTATGATCCTCGCCCACGTCTCTGGTCTTTACCCACCATCATTGTGACCAAGTGGGATCTTTCTGACAGCAACCAAGGCCATGCTGGAGACTCGGGCGACAACGACAGCGCGGGAGGCAAGTCGTCCATGCAATACCTCACCGTCCCGGATCCGTTCCAAATACCGAACGGTTACACAGGCCGGTTTGGTATGAGACGAAGCTCGTCCCTCACGGACTTGCGTGGCGATGATGATTATTCTTCGTGTGCGAGTACCGTTCGATTGAATGCCATGCAGTATGGCTCTATCTTGAACCTCATGCCGTCAGTTGACGACGACAGCGATGCAGGGGGAGAACACGATGCTTCTGGAACCAGTTCGGTTCTGCATTACGAACATTCCTACGTAAGTTTCTGTTGAACATATTCATTGTGAAGGAAAGGCATACTTGTTCTATAAAATTATCACTAAGGTGATGCTTGACTGCATTTTTTGTAAATTTTTACAGCCTCTTTGGTTATTCAGTAATCTTGAAAGGTACGTACTTCGCTTGTAAATAAAGAATCATCACCCACCGTCGTAGCTGACAGTTGAAGGGTAAGGTAAAAGGGTAAACTATTTTACATTCACTGTATGTTCTGCAGGTAATTGATATGTTGACATAATTTATTTTTCTTAATTTTTCGATGTTGCCTCACATCTCTTGAAACATTGTATCCCGTAATACAGTATCAATAGCCCTTCTATGTTGAAATTTATAAATCAGAATACTCTATGAGTCCAATTATCATGTTATTGTATGAAGTTAACAATTTTTTGTTACGTGTACGCCGCGTACAGATGTATGGTCGCTACTCGGCCGACCTCGCAGAATACGCATACGCTGAAGGCAAGAGAATACGGGACGATAAGGCGAAAGTCGACGATCTCACCAAAGAACTCCACAAATACAAGGCTGAAAAATCCCGCTTCATCGTCAATTTTGTCAGGTGATTGTCTCTAGCAATTACTTAATAACTCTTTGGATTATTTCTGTGCTCCCAATCAAGTTAACAATCTATATAGCCTAGATTTAAATTATTTGTGGTTTATGAAATTTTTAAGTACGTTGCTGAAGATACGAGTTTTATTCTATTGAATGCGTTCGTTATTGGCGCTCGACGAGTTAAGTCACCGTGCCCAGAGAGTAGTTTAGGATCAGTCGAGAATGACCAAGCATAATTACATTGAATATTATTATTTCAATAGACAAATATCATAACATTTATAACTTCATTAAGAAGTTAATGAACAGTTTTTTTATGCATCCATTTGTAGACCGGCTTGGGAGCACACCTTCGCCCGCATCGGAGAGGACTGGGTGTTCTTGTTCGTCTTAGGCATCGTCGTGGCGGTGATTTCGTTCGGAATTGATACCATCGTAGGTTTATGTTTTACAGGTAAGTCAATAATCCAGCAGTTTATATTATGTAGAGGAAATTATATAATGATTCAGGTAAGTCAATAATCCAGTAGGTTATAACATAACATAACATTGTGATGTCGGCGCTGAAGAGTAGGCCTGATGTGGCCTGTCGCCGATTCCTGTACTTTTCGCTATGTTGTGTAGAGGAAATAATATAATGATACATGCAAGTCAATAATCAAGCCGGTTATGTTGTGTAGAGGAAATTATATAATGCTCGACAGTATTTGACCAAATTTTGGCTTCATTTACGTTTACAATTTGCAGTGGGTAAAGTAAAAGCTCTAAACGGTGTGAATAAATATTTCCCAAATGATTTTCCTACATGGAATGTAATTGGTTATGTAAACTCCTACTTTATTTATTAATCATTTGGTATTAAATAACTAGTCCGGTTAAGAGCTTGTATACTTCTGTCTCTAGCAAAAATTTCTGAGATTCGCTTCGGCATTATCAATCTCATTGTTACAATGGTTGGACTTATAAAACAGATAAAATTTATTCTCTACCCGATTAATAATTCTAAGAACGGGTTAACCTGTTAGCCCCGCTACTGCTCGTATAATTTCTAATAACCGATCACTAATTAAAGAATTGTTTAACCTGTTAGCTCGGCTGTACTGCTTGTATAATTTCATATAGCCGATCCCTAATTCCAAGAATTGGTTAACGTGTCAGCTCGGATGTACTTCTCGAATAATTTCTAATAACCGATCACTAATTAATGAATTTTTTAACCTGTTAGCTCAACTGTACCTACTGCTAGTATAACTTCAAAAAACCGATCACCAACCAATTCCAATAATTGTTTATCCTGTCAGCTCCTCTGTAACTCTCGTATTATTCATATAACCGATCACTAATTTTAAGAATTGTTTAACCTGTCAGCTCGTCTGTACATCTCGTATTATTCAAATATCCGATCACTAATTCCAATAATTGTTTATCCTGCCAGCGCGGATGTATTTCCACGAGATCCTGCACGACGTGCACTGGGGCTTATCAGTGTTCATGTGGCTGCTGCTGCCCACGATGCTCGTGGCGTTCGCCGTGAGCTTCACCCAGTGGGTGGCGCCCTCCGCCGCGGGCTCCGGCATCCCGGAAATGAAGACAATCCTTAGGGGCGTCGTGCTCAAGGAGTACCTCACCTGGAGGACGCTAGTCGCTAAGGTTTGTCTCGTGGACATTTTGATGTATTAGTACCTCAATTCGAAAACTTTTGGGATAGTAAGATCTACATATTCCGTTGCTTCGTTTTTTTTTTATAATAACGTACTTGTGGATGAGTACATCAACTGTAAATTATGTAATGAAATGATTGGTTCTTAATGTTTTCGTTATCACTTCGATCATAATTATCACGTACCTAAGAACTAAGATTTATGCACCTGAAATACCTCGTTTTGATGAGAATTGTTACTAACTCGAGTGATTGGAAACGGCGATATGAACTACGAGAGTGGATGATGTGATACATCTTACGCGATAAAATGAGCTGGCCTCCATAGCAACTGAACGTTGTGTTTTTTTTTTTATTTCAATTAAATGCTGTATATCGGTGTTTTCTGTCGCTTGAACTTCAGTGCATTAAATGAGATTTGATGGCCGGTGCAGATCGTGGGCTTATCAGCTGTGATAGGCGCAGGCATGCCACTAGGCAAGGAAGGGCCGGTGATGCACATGGCCAGTATCGTGGCTACGTTGCTCAGCAAACTCCTTCAGATCATTAAAGGAACCGTCGAGAACGAACAGCGCACTACAGACCTCCTCGCTGCCGCCTGCACCATGGGCGTATCTGCGTGCTACGCCGCTCCTGTGGGCGGTACATTGCTCTCTGAAAAGCTTAGGCTTGTCGTGTAACTTTGATTTTATTTACACTTTCTTCTTTTTCTTAAAAAAACTATATTTTTTTATTTATTTAAACTTGTTTCGTTGTCTTTTATTTGCCGCCGATTTTATACCTTGATTATGGAGTAATTTCTTTCGTATCATAAGGTTAATTTTGATTCTTGCGAAGTCTCTTGTTTTAGTCTTTGGAGTTAATTTTTAAACAAGCGATATTTGTGCTTGTGTGTATGTAATATTTTTCCAAAAACCCTTTATCCATTCCCATGACCAACCCTCACAAGTGATCTTAAGATCCCATTCCCTGACACGACAGGCGTGCTGTTCAGCATCGAGGTCACGACCACATACTTCGCGGTCCGTAATTACTGGCGTGGCTTCTTCGCTGCTGTCGTCGGCGCCATCTTCTACCGCCTCTTGGGGGTCTGGTTCCTTGGTCTAGGTCAGTGGCACTCTCGAATATCTGTTCTTGGGGTCTGGTTATTTGGTCTAGGTCAGTGGAACCATCGAATATCTGTTATTGAGGTCTGGTTATTTGGTCTAGGTCAGTGGTACCATCGAATATCATCTGGTCATGCGAGGTCTAGGTCAGTGGCACTATCGATTATCTGGTCTTGAGGTCTGGTTACTTGGTCTAGGTCAGTGGTACCATCGAATATCATCTGGTCATGAGGTCTAGGTCAGTGGCACTATCGAATATCTGGTCTTGGGTGTCTGGTTCCTTGGTTCTAGGTCAGTGGCACCATCGAATATCTCTTATTGAGGTCTGGTTATTTGGTCTAGGTCAGTGGCACCATCGAATATCATCTGGTCTTGAAGTCTGGTTCCTTGGTCTAGGTCAGTGGTACCATCGAATATCATCTGGTCTTGCGGTCTGGTTCCTGGGTCTAGGTCAGTGGCACCATCGAATATCTGGTCTTGGGGGTCTGGTTCCTTGGTCCTAGGTCAGTGGCACCATCGAATAACATCTGGTTTTGAGGTCTAGTTCCTTGGTCTAGGTCAGTAGTACTCTCGAATATTTATTTAGCCTAAGGTAAGGATGTCTCTTTCTGGTTGGCAGTGGTCTTTAACCATTTAAGTATTGCTACTTCTCCACTGTATTGATTACTTGTGAAAGACTGTCTTGGAATGCAACATAATTGAATCATTTTATGTCGATGGACATTGTGGAGCGATTGTTTTTCGGTTACAATATTTCGCCTAATGCTGCTAAAGTCTATCTAGCCTCGGAAAATTATGTGAAATGGGAAAAACCGAAATTAAGGGTCGAAATAACTGAATTTATCTGATGAAACTAATGTGCGCGAAAATTGTGTTTTGATATATTTTCTATAAAAAATTTGAAAGCAAAGAAGACGCCTAGTAAATTTCCTTTATCTTTATCGAAAGCTTGCTATCTCGCTGGGTCAGTGCTATTTTAAAATAATAAGTTTCACTTCTGATTACCGCGATTTTAGGATTTTATTATCGCTTCATATTTTAAATCTTTTTTTTTTGTTACATTGATGATGAAGCTGGTCTCCGCAAAGTGTTCGATTTAGATAAGGTATATTTATTTGATATGGTGAAGCAAAATAAGTTTTCAATGTCACTCCAGTTTCTAATTATGACAAGCTCATTTGAAGATCGTTTCGTAGCTTTAGTGAGCATTAGTATAGGATTAAAACATAAATTTAATCTCGAATTTTGAACTTATTACCAGCTTTCCTTTCTTCACTTTGATCGAGGTAAGTTTTCCCTTACATAGTATGTATAAATATTATTTCTGTGTTGTAATTTATGTTTGGTGAGGTCGGTGTTGAAGGTAGTAGTTCTTTCGTACATTTCCTCGCTGTATTAATTTGTATTTTATCCTGATGCTTTCTATGTTCCCTTTGTGTATGTTCCAATGGATAGCTTTGAATAAAATTTAATCCTCACAAGCTACTTGAATTGGATTAAGAAATGGATGAATCCTTTGTAATTGATTTGACTAAATTAGTTACAGGGAATCCACTTGGAGCTTTTCAGTAAGATTCTAAATGTTATTGTACAACCCTGCTTAATTTTTCAATTTGTTAGAAAATCTTATTCCCTGCTTGCCAGACTTCTGAGTATCTTAATTATTTTCTGAATATTTCATTTGAACAAATTTACCACGGATCGTATATTATCCTGCTATCCTTATTGGACGCCATGTTGTCTCAGCCATACTCCTCACAATTGAAAAAAAGTTTTAGATAGTTTTTTACGTTCCTATTAACAATACTCACAATTGTAAGAAAAAGTTTTAGATGGTTTTTTGCGTCCCTATTAACAGAACTCACAATTGTAAAAAAATTCTGGATGTTTTTTTGCGTCCCAATTAACAAAACTCACAATTGTAAAAAAATTCTAGATGGTTTTTTGCGTCCCTATTAACAGTACTCACAACTGTAAGAAAAAGTTTTAGATGTTTTTTTGCGTCTCTATTAACAGAACTCACAATTGTAAAAAAATTCTAGATGGTTTTTTGCGTCCCAATTAACAGAACTCACAACTGTAAAAAAAGTCCTAGATGTTATGTTGCGTCCCAGCAATACTCCTTACAATTGTACAAAAATTCCTAGATAGTTTGTTGCGTCCCTGCAATATTTCCAAATTTCTAGAACAGGATATTGCGATTGAGTCACTGCAATGCTTCTCACAATTGCACCGAAGTTATCATAGATTAAAATTCGTTGAAGCGTATCTTCAAAATATATTGGTGCGAAATATTCTATGTTAAACTGCATCGGATGTTGTTAGTTGTTTCGAGTGTTAGTTAAAAAAATTTGCTATTGGTTAAATGTAGAAGCTGAAAAAAATATAATATTTTGTTGGAAAGCCATACACTCGTTTGATTTGTATCAGGATTACGTAACGCTAGTTTATTTATGTACCGATTTTTTACCTGCCTGCCCTAATTCGTGACGGTGGATCATTTCTAAGTTTTATCGGCAATGTCGTTTGCTTCGGAATTTGGAAAGAAATCTTAATTTTTAATTCATATTTAGCTCATTTTCTCATTTATGGAAAAAACGCACTATTGTGCTCGCCATGTCCGTATGTCTGTCTGTCCGTTTGTCCGTCCGTGACCTCATGTTTTCGTCTACGAGAAAATGCGCTCTCTGTCACTCACTGCAGTGAGTACTGAGTTATAATTTTTTAGTATTGCCTCATCTTCTTATTGTGATTTTGAACTTATGTTAGACGATTGAAATTTTCAAATCTCGTACTGTCATGTTATTTAAAATCATAACTGAATTATCTAAATCCGCATCAAATTGCATTCATGCATGCAAAAATCAAATAAAATTTATCAAATTGCTTATAATTCGCTTTTGCAGGTATGAAGTCGGTGTCTTATGACCGTTATTTTAAATGTCGATGTTTTTTAGTTAAGCTTGAACTCGTTCGATGCAAGTATTAATGTTGTATTCTGCTGCCGGTTTATTTTGCATTGTGTCATTATTTTACGTAGCTTTGCTTCTTGTCGTGCCTACAGAGACCATCTACCCACTATTTAAGGTCAGCCATAACTACGTCTACCCTTATGATGTCATCGAACTCTTCCCATTCATCTGTCTGAGGTGAGAACTAGTTATCATTACTCATAAAGTTATTATGCTTGAAAAAACATCGTTACAATGTCAAACTTAGTTACAAAGTTACAAACTTATTCTTCCATGTTAAATAGAAGAAAAAGTTATGTCGTTATGCATTGTAACTCCATAAAGTTATAATGCATAACTTATTCTTTTTATTCTTCTTTGTACCGACCCTAGTCGAAAAATTTTTTCTATAGTTAATATTTTTGAGATGTATTCAGAAATGGGCCAAGCTTGCAGCTCGTGAACGTTCTGCTTCGTCTTTTAGATGATTTGTTGAAGCGTCTGTGTAAAAATGAAGGGTTTACGCATTTTGTCAATCTTTATGGCCCATTTGTACTAATTTTTTATTACCAAAAATAATTTGGAATGCTTATTACCTTACCCCGGATTTGATCTTCCAAAGTTACGATTACATAAATGGGTTTGAGTTTAATTAGAAAATTCATAATGCTAGTTATTGCTAATTTTTGTTCTCTTTGTAATGGTTTGTAACGGCAGCATTGTGAATGGCTTCCTGGGCGCAGCGTTTGTGTTCTGCCATAGACGCTACGTTATGTTCATGCGACACAACAAGTTCATCAAGAACATCCTCATGAAGAAGTGAGTTATATTTCTCTCCAGAAAAATCTCCTTATTGAAATAATCTGAACAAATATCCATTGAAAATCTTCTACATTATTTTCATTTCATTCATCAAGTTCGAGCCTTTAGCTTCTAAAGATACGGCCTGTAGCTCACAATGAATAACAAACTCTGTAGAGCGGATTTAGTTTGACAGGCTAAACCATGTTTTTTATAATACACTTATAATACACTTATAATGTAGTTGTAACAGCAGTGACTTTCATTCCATTAATATCGTAAACATTTTTATAATACTCTTTCATTCCATTAATATCTTGATAATTTCGACAGCCGCATGCTGTATCCCGTCATAGTCGCGGTGTCCATATCGCTGGTGACCTACCCTGATGCCTTGGGACAGTTCATGGCATCCAAACTCACAGCCAGACAACAGGTATTTAGCGTTACTGAGTGGTAATTTGTAGCTCATTGCTAGGCAACAGGTATTTAGCGTTACTGAGTGATAATTGTAGCTCACAGCCAGACAACGGGTATTTAGTGTTACCGAGTGATAATTGTAGCTCACTGCCAGACAGCAGGTATTTAGTGTTACTGAGTGATAATTGTAGCTCACTGCCAGACAACAGGTATTTAGTGTTACCGAGTGATAATTTGTAGCTCACTGCCAGACAGCAGGTATTTAGTGTTACCTAGTGATAATTTGTAGCTCACAGCAAGACAACGGGTATTAGCGATATTGAGTGATAATTGTGGCTCACAGCCAGACAGCAGGTATTTTGCGTTACCGAGTGATAATTTGTAGCTAACAGCCAGACAACGGGTATTGGGGATTACCGAGTGATTATTTGTTACACGGAGCCTAGTACGTAACAGGTATTTAACGTTACCCAGCGATCATTTGTATTCCACTGCCAGGCTTTACTACAATGATACCAAAAGAAAGGCCGTAAGCTGCCTATGATCAATCGATAACGCCAAATACCCGTTACCTGGCTGTGAGCTACAAACGATCACTCGGTAATGAAAGGCAAAAAATACAGTCAGCCTTGCCTTAAGAATACCTCTGGCAGCCTTGGCTTCTGAATACCTCTGGCAGCCTTGCCTTAGGAATACCCCTGGCAACCTTTGCTTAAGAATACCTCTGGCAGCCTTGCCTTGAGAATACCCCTGGCAACCTTGCCTTAAGAATACCTCTGGCAGCCTTGCCTTAAGAATACCTCTGGCAGCCTTGGCTTCTGAATACCTCTGGCAGCCTTGCCTTAAGAATACCTCTGGCAGCCTTGCCTTAAGAATACCTCTAGCAGCCTTGCCTTAAGAATACCTCTGGCAGCCTTGGCTTAAGAATACCTCTGGCAGCCTTGGCTTAAGAATACCTCTGGCAGCCTTGCCTTAAGAATACCCCTGGCAGCCTTGCCTTAAGAATACCTCTGGCAGCCTTGGCTTAGGAATACCCCTGGCAGCCTTGCCTTAAGAATACCTCTGGCAGCCTTGGCTTAAGAATACCTCTGGCAGCCTTTCCTTAAGAATACCTCTGGCAACCTTTGCTTAAGAATACCCCTGGCAGCCTTGCCTTAAGAATACCTCTGGCAGCCTTGCCTTTAGAATACCTCTGGCAGCCTTGCCTTAAGAATACCTCTGGCAGCCTTGCCTCAAAAATACATTCCAGGGAGCAGATTCATGTATTTCGTTGTTCCTCAGATCCTGCAGATCTTCAGCAACGTAACGTGGGGCCAATACGGGCCCGAAGCTTCGACTGCTCAAACTGGAGCTCAGAACGACATCCTCAAGAACTGGGTCAATGAGGAAAATCCCAGCTTCCAGCTCAGCCTGTTTATATTCCAAACTGTTACAGTAAGTCTAAATTATTACTGTTGATGCTATTACTTTTCTCATCAAACGATGGTTATATTGGTTTTATATTTATTTACCATATTTTTTTCTAAAGATGATCCCTGTTCGAAGACTATTGATATTCTTTATGCCTGTTGATGTTGACAAGTTTCTCCGACATCTAGAAGAGATCACAGCCGTACACGAAAAGTTCAAAATCAGGTCTAATCGATCATTAAGTGCAGTCAATCAGTCCTCTGAAGAATTTTAAATTGATAAGCTTTAAATTTAATCGGTCAATATCAAGTTCTTGATGTGTATAAAGAGTACAGAATTGTCGAGAATGTTGTTGCCACGATGTTGCGTTCAATGTTGCGTCCCTGACGTCACGATGTTGCGTCCCTGACGTCACGATGTTGCGTCCCTGACGTCACGATGTTGCGTCCCTGACGCCACAATGTTGCATCCCTGACGTCACTATGTTGCGTCCCTGACGTCACAATGTTGCGTCCCTGACGCCACAATGTTGCGTCCCTGACCCACAATGTTTCGTCCCTGACGCCACAATGTTGCGTCCCTGACGCCACAATGTTGCGTTCCTGACCCACAATGTTGCGTTCCTGACCCACAATGTTTCGTCCCTGACGCCACAATGTTTCGTCCCTGACGTCACAATGTTGCGTCCCTGACGTCACAATGTTGCGTCCCTGACGTCACAATGTTTCCTCATTGACGTGACGTCGCCAACAGCTGATGCAGGTTGTGCTGGCGTCGACGCTGCCGGTGGCCACAGGGCTGCTCGTGCCGCTGATGAAAGTCGGCGCAGCGTTCGGCAGGATCGTGGGCGAGCTCATGGTCTACTTCTACCCCGTGGGCATCGTGCCCGGCTTCCCTATCGTGCCCGGTGCGTGTAGCTAACCAGTGGTGCGTGTGGCTAAGTGCTGGTGCGTGAAGCTGACCACTGGTGCGTGTGGCTAAGTGCTGGTGCGTGTGCCCGGTGCGTGAAGATGACGACTTGTGCGTGAAGATGAGTGCTGGTGCGAGTGGCTAAGTGCTGGTGCGTGTGCTCGGTGCGTGAAGATGACGACTTGTGCGTGAAGATGAGTGCTGGTGCGTGAAAATGACCAATGGTGCGTGTAGCTGACGACTGGTGCGTGTTGTTCTCTGAGCGTGACTAGTATCGGTCCTTTTAAGTTCTTCTGCTGAATGCTAAACAAATCAACGAGTTGGTAAAATTTAGTAATGCTCCTGTATGAAAGAGTTATACCTTCATGCCTAATGAATTACTTCCTACAAATGCGCGTACATCGCTGTGTATGTACTTAGTCAGTGGTTCTAGCGTTGATCAGATTAAAAAAACAAGGGGTTTCCTGATTAGGAAGCGTCCTGATCATGTCAATTATTTCAATATTTTTTATTCAGTTTGCAATTCTATTTAACAGGCGCATACGCGATGGTGGGTGCAGCATCCTTCTGCGCCTCCATCACCCACACCATCTCCATCTCCGTCATCATGTTTGAGCTCACCGGCCAAATTACATACGCAATTCCCATCATTGTGAGTACCCGGGAAACAATCAAATTATTTAGAGAACAGCAGTTTGAATGGCTTCTTGCTTGCTACATTCCGTACACGTACTTATTAACTCTCTACCGACTGACATGAGTAACCGGAGCAAAATTGTCACGCGCCTACTTCCCAAAAAGGATACGTTCTAGTGAGCGCAAAATGACTTGCACTGATGGCTGCCGCCACGTACGACAACTTTAAAATGTTCTCTGTTGCGTACAAACGTCCTCAGGTTGCTACACTCAATAGTTTAACGTATAATTTAAGCTGAAAGTCACAGAGGAGATTGACATGCGGCGGTAGAGGGTTAAGATCTCTTAGTATTTTTGAACTTTAGTCAGTTTGTAGATAACTTGAGTGGATAATATTTGTGTGTTGTAAGGTTGGCGTGTTGGTGTCCAATTGCATCGCGTCGCTGCTGCAGCCGTCCATCTACGACAGCGTCATCAGGATCAAGAAGCTGCCTTACCTTCCCGACATCGTCACCACCACGTCATGTACGAATTACATAACTTTATCTGCACGATATCACCTTACCACTGATTGTTATATTCTGTGATCAACTTGTTTATTTATTTAATGAAGAATTACCTCGCTTTACTTACACGATATCACCTTGCCACTATTGTTTTATTCTGTGATCAATTTATGTATTTATTTAATTTTGTTGCTTCTTGAATTCACTCTTGATTGATATTATTTTTTCGGATGTTGAAATTCCTACTCTCGGTGGAATATCGTAATAATAATGTAATATCATTGTAATTAAATAGTTATTGTTGACTGCAGCTGACGTGTACAACACATTCGTAGAGGACATCATGGTAAAGGACATCGGCTACATCTGGTACAGCATGACCTACGCAGAGCTCAAGAAAGTTCTTAAGGAGAACAGACGCATCAAGTTCTTTCCTGTCGTCGATAGCCATAGTAAGAGAACCGAAAATTTGTCTCTTCATAGGAGAAAAATTTATTGGAGGAAATATGTCGAAAACGCATAGTTAATAATGTATCTGTATAATGAATTATTAACGCATGCATTTAAAAGAGAAGGTATTCGTTCATTTTTTTGCTGTTGAATGAACATAAATTTCTCTCAGAATACTAACTTTTAGAATTCAGACATCCGGATTAGGATGTTTAAAAATAAAAAAATCATACTAGCACATGTCTCTTATAAATCAGACATATTTTCTAACTATGCTCGTTCTTTGAATGAGCTACTTAACATATGTATAAAAAACTCCTGAAAAGTGAAAATAAATAGCAACGACGTGGAAACCGAGACATGGTCACGTGTGAATACGAAAGAAAATTTATTTCATACCAATTTTGAATCATAAAAATATCTGTTTCACATTTTTGAAAGATGGATTGATATTTTTTGCATTTGAATCATAAAAATATTTATTTCACGTTTTGAAAATAGAAAAAATAAATTGATATATTTTTCAGCTCACATGATCTTGCTTGGCTCGGTGAAGCGCATCGAGCTGGTGAGGCTCCTGCTGCACCAAATCTCCCCGGACAAGCGGAGGAAGGAGGCACAGAGGAGGCAGATTGAGGCTCTCAAGTAACGATCACTTTCATGTTTTGTACTGCATGATTATTTATAGTTATAAAATATTAATTGATTACCTCATCGTTAACTAAATAATCACCTTACATCTCGTACTTAAGAAGTTATTAATTTTTTACATTGTATTTTTTAATAAAACAAGGGCAGTAGGGTATCAAAGTAACATATACACTGTAATGAAATAAATCTGTGCAGTTTAGATTATAAACGATTTTAGCAAACTGCAAGCTGAAACTGGGCTCTAATCCTGATGAGATTCCTCAAAGATATAACAGACCAAACGCTTGTTTAATACGTTGACTACGATTGCTTCATCTTGTACTATTATTTTATTTTTTGTACTTTTTTTAAGCAGGGTTGCCAGACGGTCATTTTTTCCAGACAAATTCCGTGATTTAGTTTTCTCAATTGCGTTGGCCGGCTAAAATTTATGATAGGAATACTTCCTAATTAAATTTTAAATACTGAAAAAAGAAAATAAATGGAATTTTTATAGCGGAACCTACAAATAAAGTAGTATACATTGAATTATCGGCCTTTTTTGGCCTTTTTTGTTCTCGGATTTGGCCGATTTTGGGCAACCTGAATTATGTACCACTACCTCCTGGAGAAATACATTTCGTGGTACGCATATTTTTTGAATACTATGCGTCTCTATACATAATTTAAATCAATTTTCCTGTTAAGTTTGTGTACTTACATACATTAAAATACGATTTTTCAAGTGTACGAATATTTATTTCCCCCCACTGTATGTACCAATACGTAGTTAACGTGTTAAGCGTAGAGTGGTTTCTTCAGTGGATATTCGGATTAAAAATTAAATATTTTTTAATTCAGACGTTTGCTTCTGTAAATAAATCGAGCCTGGCACCCTCACATGAATTCAAACCCACTATGTTACTAATGAGCCGCAGCTATATGGCATAAAATTAGCACGCTACTCTGCCCTACATTCTTGCAGCGACAAGTTATTGCTTAGTTCTTTCTTGCGTCGCCAATAAATCAACTTACGGCTGATATTCTGTTAACCACACACAAGATTTTATGGCCGAAAAATCCTTTATTGTATTTTATGTATTATTTAATGTAACCACACACCAGATTTGAAACTCAAAAATTCTTTAATGTATTTTATTCAATATTTAATGTAACCACAGAACAGATTTGAAACTCAAAAAATTCTTTAATATATTTTATTAAATACTTCATATTTTTTTAAATTTAAATATTAAATATTTTTTATTGTTGCTGCAGGCAGCGGTGGATGGAAGAAGATGCGTCGGAGCACGCGCACTCGCGCATCAGGTACGAAGACGAAGTGCGCGCCATGACCGACGCTGAGGGCAACTCTGCCACCGTGAGCGGGGGACTCCTGCAGAGGATGGGCAGGTCCTTCTCTCGGTCTCTGTCCAGATCAAGATCTGTTAACTGCAGGTAATTGTTACGCAGAAATGTATATTTGTGACTCGTCTGTGATCGTTGAATATACTGTTAACTAAAATATATTTTTGACTCGTCTATGATCGTTGAATATACTGTTAAAAATATAATCTGTAACTAATAGGTGCATATCAAACGAGATTCACTTTTGGTCTGCCGTGAGTCATTTCTATAAATTTTTACAAGGTTTCCACGGTAATGATTACGATCTATGAATTATCATGTAATTTAAATTTGAATTTTGTGCCTCAGGTTTTTGTTCAACGTGGCTCAATCTTCAGTTGCTCCCTATTTTATCAAATCGTGCAATGCATTAGAGGTGATCAGTCAGTTATCTTGAGGATAACTTTCATAAATCTTGGCACTTTGAACGATTAATGAGGAATAATTTTATGATCAATATTTTCGCCAATATTAGAGTATCGTCCTTATAGAATTTAATTTTCATCCCCTCAGCCCATGAGTTCATCGATACTCGCAAGACATGATCAATACAATATAGTTTTACTACTCAATCAGTAATGCTTGAACTTGCAAAGTATCAAACTATCGAACTTGTTTTCTTTAATGACTTTTCACTCCCGATCAATATTTGTATTTTTAATTCAGTTGTCAATTCAATTCACTTTTTCACTCTCGATCAATATATTTTTGTGTACTAACAAAATTTCTAGTTTATTTGACTCTAACATTTAACATTCACCGAGCTCAATACTGAGAATAAGACGTTTGAAGATCAACTGTTACTCTCTAATTATTCACTCGTTAATTATTAGAGCTCGTTAAGCATTTTACTTCATTGCTTTATTTTCAATATAATAACGGTTTATGTCGACGTTTCAGGCCCCCGTCAGCGACTTCGGCAGGTCAACTGCCTCCCAATGAGTGAGTAATTCAGAAGTTTTTACTGCATAAAATTACGAAAAATATATTCGGTAAGATTTCATTGGGTGCCCCCAACACTGGATATTACAACACTGGAATGAAAAAATGTACATTTTTCTTAAAATCCTTTAATAAAAAGTTTCCATTAACTTATTAGAAACCATTCACCGTACCAAAAAGTTGTGCAATCAAGTGTTTGGGTTATTTTTTAGGCCGGAGAAAAGGAGTGCAACGATTTGATGAAAATACTGATTCGATCAAAGTTATCTGTTGATGAATGAGGTATACGTTTAAAAGTAACTGCACCTGTCGCGTAAAATTTTTGTCGAGTTTTTCCTCGCCACTGACTGAATATTTTCCTGCAGAGATGAAGCTCAAGACGACGATGAAACTCCGTACAACAATCAGCTCACCATCCACAGCAGCGCCTCCACCGCCAAGTATGTGCTGCTCAGAACCTTCCTCTTCACCATAAATTCATTTATTCTAAGATCATGTGATAATTTTAAGATCATGTGATAATTCTAAGATCATGTGATAATTCTAAGATCATGTGATAATTTTAAGATCATGCGATAATTTTAAGATCATGTGATAATTTTAAGATCATGTGAAAATTTTAAGATCATGGGATAATTTCAAGATCATGTGAAAATTTTAATATCATGTGATAATTGTAAGATCGTGTGAAATTATTCATGCTAATCTTTTGATAGAAACCAACGTACTGACCTGAAGGTAGTGAAACTGAACTAAACACATAAAATTAATAAGCTTGAATGTTTGAAGAAATATAAGATTAGTTGCTAGTAAATGAATACACCTAAAACATTTACTTGATTTCATAACGAAGACAATAGATATTTGGTAATTCGGTTCTCGTGAAAGACTTGTATTTCATCTCAATTTTAATCTCATTTATTGATATCTCTGAGGATTCTCATCGGTGCTTTTTACTTGAACCTCTTCATGACTAAAAAAAAATGCATGTGTTTACTCATCTCAATTATAAATATTTAAATTTTTATTATACGAAGGATTTGTATTATTCAATATTTTTCTAATGATTTCCACATGTGATGCTCGTTTCTTTAATCAATTCAAAAATTTTACTCATCACACTACATAAACTTGTACTCTTCAATTCCTAATGTTCAGTATAAATAATGTTACCCCCTATCTCAGACTGGGGGGCAACTCCCCCAACGTGTCGCCCCCCGCACACCTCCGCGACATTTTCGCCCGGGGCTCCCAGCTAGACGAGCGCCGGTCGTCCAGATTTTCCGTCAGTAAAGTGGGTGTCTTGATTCAAGTTGATAATTTTTTTTATTATTAACATGCCCAACAGGTCATGCTAATAATTAATAATTAACTCAATAATAATAATAATTAACTCACCTGTAGTCTTCGGGTCGAAATAGCCCATATTTCCGACCCAGTTTGTTCCGAATGACCCAGATGTACAAACGAGGTTTTTCGAAACAATTAAAAAACGAATCGTTGGACAAATGTTATTTATTCATTTCCTTATTGTTATTGACCTTATCTGTTATATATCAGAGTTCAACAAATAACGCAATTTAAAAAATAATGACGAAAATCTTCATATTAACAGGTAAAAGCTGCCGCAGCTGAAGTGCCAATTCCGACGATCGCCGTGAATGCCGACGGTGAAGACGACGGAAAATCTTCTAAGTCGACCGGAGAGTCAACGCGCAGTTCAATAAGTGACAGGAACTCGGTATTTACGGTAAAAAGCGGCAAACCCGAGCCCAAGATCAACCAAGATGATGCCAGCCGTACCAAGTCACCATTTAAACTAGTTCAGAACAAACTGAAGGACAAGAAATCCAAGACTAAAGATGAGAAACAGAAACAGGAGCAACAAAGAGCAGAGATGCTTGAGTCGGAAGCCGAGAAAGTTATTTTCTCTGCCGCCCGACGCGCCTCCGCGATCAAGAGATCAAACTCGCTCGACTCTCTGCGCAGGAGAAGCAAGGCCGACGATGAGCAGGTATAACTGCGAGTCTGTTAACTTATTCACATTAGAATTTCATTCTACAGGATGTCCATATAGTTCTGACACATAGGATAGTTGAATATTTTCGGTATATAATTAAAATTAGGTCTTATTTTCACTATTTTATTCAAGTAACATCTTCATTCTTCTTTTGTCTAAGCCATAATTGACCTGTGGATGCAGAAAATATATATTAGAAATTTTGATGAAAACTATTTTGAAAAATATTTAACTTTACTGTGTCCAGACCTTACGGACACTATGTAGATGATCAGTAGAAACATCTGATTTGGCATCTTTATTTCAAGCAGTTGTTAAGCTATGCTCAGATCGTCATATATTTTTGGTAAACGGATTGCTCAAACAACCCCAAAAAGAAAAAATCGGTCATGTCTGGGAGCCTAAAAGGCCAGTAATATGAGGATGCATCTAGACATCCAGTGCAGCCAAAATACCGGCCACGAATATTTTAATCGAAGATTGTGTACATTCTCACATTAACCCTCTACCGCCGAATGTCACTCTCCGGGAACATAAGTTTCAACTTAAATTATACGTAAACTATTGAGTGTAGCTGCTTGAGAAAGTTTGTACGCAACGAAGAACATTTTAAAGTTGTTGTACGTGGCAGTAACCATCAGTGCAAGTCATTTTGCGCTCACTAGAACGTATCTTCTGGAGGAAGTAGGCTTGTGACAATATTGCTCCGGTTACTCATGTCAGGCGGTAGAGGGTAAAGTCGATGCTGCTACTCGGCGGGAACGACGTAAACTATAGTTTTCGTTTTCAACCAGTTCGTACCTAGTTGGTGAATTTCATTTAGATAAAATATAAAAAAATCCTTGATGGTATTAAATATAACGTTTTTTATATACATCGTGCATTTGCTAAAACAAACTGGCGAACCAGTAGGATTTTTCTTTGACATGACACAACTTCGCTTATTTTTTTTATCTTTTGCAATTTTAAAGTAGACATATACAAACGCTCAACTGAGCTCCAACAGCTCGAAGCTAAGCACGAATCTGTTAGTGCCTATTTTAATTAGTTCCTATCTTTGTTAATGGAGGAAGATGCGGATGAACCTGATGGAATATAAACTTACGATCCCTTGCATGCGCAGGATAAGAGAAGATCAGGTGCAGGATCTGACGCAGAGGACGACCCAGACTCGACCCACAGCTCCCCCACCGTCAGCCGCAGGATGGACTCCCCTCCTATGAAGAGTATCCTTAAGAGACGCAACTCCTTCAGCCTCGGCGCCATCAATATTGCCCCTGAACCTCGGGCTCCTGATGGCCATTACCAGACCATAGGCACGGCAGACACTAAGTGAGTTTGTTACGGAGGTTTTGTTGTCAGTGCTGGTACAAAAATGGCTACGTAGCTACTTCCATTTGGCAACTGGGATCCAATATCATAATCAGACATCACAACACTTGGCAATTGGGATCCAATATCATAATCGGACATCACAACACTTGACAACTAGGATCCGCTATCACAATAAAGGCGTTCGGGGAAAATTTCTGTTCTTCAAAGAGTTTGCTAATTAATTTCTTCCCTAAAAAGCATGCGTTTATTGACTGTGTCTCGCTGCTGCTCAAATTACTCCTGACCATAAAAGTGCTACCGATACCGAATAATTCTAACAGTAAATACACTCTGCCCATTAATACTTATATACAGGGATACAATACACGATAATGATCGCAGCATCATTTTGCCAGTATACAAAATAAAATACACAGTTTTTTCGGTACAATAATGTAGCCATCGTATAATTGTAAAATTGCGGAACTGTTTTTAATCGTGCATCTAAGAGTACCATTTTCGTATTAAATTTGTGCCTGATTTCTCCAAAGTTTGCTTATCATATCGTGAAATAACGCATGCTAGTTTAGCTATGTTTTAATGGCAAATGAGTAAGCGTATTGAATTTGCATTGAATTCCTGTGTGCTCTTTTGCATTTCATTACTTTTTCTATTAATTTCCTCTTGCGACGTTTTCTTTCATTGTTTGTTATTGCTTTCTAGTAAAAGGAAAGGTGTGGATGTCAGGTGAGAACTGACAAAGTTTCTGTCACCGATCTTAAATTTAGATCAGAATATGCAATTTCTTAAATTTATATCCTATTATACATTTTAATCACACATCAACTGTACTTTTCTTCGAGCCAAACGACATAAAAATGTACGAGCTCATTAACTGTACTGTTTTATCTATTGTATACGAGACTTTATCTATTGTATACAAGACTTCAATTATGCCAGCATGAAGGGCATTTACTGTACATGATAGTTTCTGTACATACTATTTACTGTACATGATACTTAGAAGCGAAGTGCACCATCGTACGCTACACTTGCATGGTAGCCTTCACGGTAGTTGGCCACGACTATGAAACTTGAACCATTATAGTGATAGTATCACTTTCTATACCAATCCAGGTTTTCGCCATTATATACTAGAACGAATTCACCGTACGAATAAAAAGCCTGTTAATTACTTTCAAAATAGGGATCAAGACAGGCATTTGTTTTAACAGGTTCTAATTACTTGTTGTTATGGGCTGTAAATTTCGCTTCCTGCTCGTTTTCTATGACCATAATAGAATAATATTTCTGCAGGAAGTGCTATTTAATGGTTATGACAAGTAGGTACGTATACCTGATCGTTTAATATGATTTTACTAAGAATTTAAAAGTCAAAGTGGCATCTAAAATCAGATCATCTTTATAGAAGGATACGTTTCTGAGCCTCCATCGTCAGTTCAAAATCCTAGAACACAAGTACAACCAATCATTTACCTATATGTTAAATTGCAGACAATAAAATCTTGATCGACGAATGGAAGACTTTAGATTGAAGATAACAGCTTTGAACAATAAGCCTCATAATATACATTCAAAATTTAGCTATCAAGCGATTTTTTTAAATAATGTTCACAGCGATTCTGTAAACATTATATCTCTTGTAGTAAATAAATTACAGCAAATAGCAAATGTTGTAGTCAAAATCAAATAACATCCGGGGCTCTTTCCTTCAAAAAGGAGTATTTTATAGGAAAACAGAAGTCAGCGAACTATTACTTCTAGAACTTCGTAGTATAAAAAGATTTTAATCGCTGATTCTTTTTCAGACTGAGGAGCGCCTTCGAGAAAGTGCGGAAGCTGAAGATGGACACGGCGGTCTCCATGGAGCTGAAGCTCTCGCAAATATCGCTCTTCAGACCCAAGAAGAAGGAATACGTGAGTGCCAGGAGTGTCTGGTGTGAATACGAGAGTGTCATGAGTGCCTGGTGTGAATACGAGAGTGCCACATGAGTGCCTGGTGTGAATACGAGAGTGCCATGAGTGCCTGGTGTGAATACGAGAGTGCCATGAGTGCCTGGTGTGAATACGAGAGTGCCATGAGTGCCTGGTGTGAATACGAGAGTGCCTGGTGTGGATACACGAGTGCCTGGTACTTATACGTGAGTGCCACATGAGTGCCTTGCGTTGGTGCAGGTGTCACTAGTTCCTTCATTTTAGGTGGCAAGATTGAAGTATAGAATTTAATTAAGGCGTATTTTGCTGACGCTCGAATCATTAACATCGTAATCTTCCGACGCTAGTAATTAATGTGTTTCTCGCTAAAAAAATTCTTTTTGTGCAATTCTTTACTAGTTCAGAGTGAATAATGAAACACTGCGTAGCTTTGTTCGTAAAATTATTCGGGTTTCTGCCAATCAGAGACAAATTTCCTAATTACTTAATAATTTTATTGACAGCCGGTGAAGCGGCAAGTCGTCGATCTTACAGACGAAGAGAGAGAAGAGTGGGAGCATCTACAGCTGGCCATGGAGGTACGTGTGTATTTTTATCGATAACTACGAAATTCTTATGAAGAACTAAAATTTGATACAATTTTATGTTTATATCAAAATGATAGTCATATTTATAACCAATTTGCTCGTTTGATGGCTCCCGGTGGACTGAGATGAAACTAACATCAATGACATATAAGTCGCTACTCAGCAGATACTGCACTTACCTCGCTGTTCGCCACTTAAAATCGTATAATATTAATCAGAACCACAGGATAACTACGAAGCTGTTTTTGTCCCGCTAGAAATATGTGGTTCAGTTTTGTTGATAAAATAGTTCCTTTCTATTGAAAGCCAGCGATTATAGTGCTGTGGCGAGTTTATTGGCATTGACGGCAAATGAGAGTTGAGGTACTAACTTATTACTGTGCACAGGTTGACTTCCAGCAGACTACGATAGACCCCGCGCCGTTCCAGCTCGTGGAGCGGACTAGTTTGCTGCGCGTACACTCGCTCTTCTCCCTACTGGGCATCAACCATGCTTATGTCACCAACATAGGCAGACTTAGGGGGGTCGTAGCACTTAAAGAGGTAAGTGCTGCTCAACATTCACCATTAAAATAACCATCTAGTAGTCAAAATTCATTTTTTTTCATTTTTTTTAACTGCAGGTTGGAATAGGTCGAATTTTGTCTTTGTGGTGGTGTAAGAAATCCGTTCTTGATTTACGAGGTAAAAATATTCTTGTATCGAAATTTGTGAATTCCTGTTAACATTTTGATATTGTTTTATCATGCTTCGTTGTGCGCTTATAGAGATATGCCTTAAGTAACTATGCAAATCCCTTATTAAAGCAGTTCAATCATTTTTATGTGGGCTCGTGCAAGGCTTCCCACTTTTTCAACATTTCACATAATATTGAACTTTTCAGTTACGTCTCGCAATCGAAGGCACGACACAAGACAAGCAACGCCAGAAACCCGTGGCAATCCAGGTTGCAGAAACACCTGAAGTAGCAGCAACAAAAGCTGTTGAAACAACAGACGTTGATGAAAATAGCAAATCTAATGGCTCTTCAATACAGAGTCGCCATGCCCACGTCGCCATCCAACTTAACGACAGACTAGAAGGCGTCCCTGACGACGTAGAAGCTGGAATTATCAACAACAGATGGGGCAATAACATTCGTCATCACGATAACGGACGCATGTCATGATGTTATCAACAACAGATGGGGTAATAACATCCGTCATCACGATAACGGACGCATGTCATGATGTTATCAACGATAACGGACGCATGTCATGATGTCATCAACGATAACGGACGCATGTCATGATGTCATCAACAACAGATGGGGCAATAACATCCGTCATCATGATAACGGACGCATGTCATAGGTTATTCCAATGACCCGCGATCCAATGTTTTAAATTTTACGCATTTCCTTTAGGATATACCTAGAATTTTATTATTGTTGGCAACATCTTGCGATTAATTGAATACAGAAGCATGTTTTTAAGACAACAGTTGCACACGAATTCTGGAATGAAAATACGGTATTTTAACGTTATTCGGTGATTTTAGCTGCTGTTACCGAATCCTTATTATAAAGTTACCATCTAAATGAAAGAACTCTACTTAAGTGTTATCAATCTTTAAAATAGATCTATTTATTATTATTCTCTAGCGAAGCTCAGCACAAGTCAACGGATTGAAGGAAATTTTTTGGTTCTTCTGGACAAGGAAATGAAATTTTTCAATTGGTTCATTTCCTATCCTTTGACTCCTAAGCATTGCTCACTTCAGGAACATGTCACTAGTTACAGTGAGGAATCATTTCTAAGTTCGTGCTTAGTCGACTGATTCATTAATCATTGTTTCTTAAAGCCTTAACTTGGGCTTGAAAAAACCGTGCCTTGTCTACGTTATGCACCAAAGCTTGTTTCCGGCACAAATGAAGGACCAAAATTTCCCTTGACTTTGGGGAAAGTTATCAGTATTTACCCTAGAACACTCGGGGGGATACCTCTTAACCTCCTGTATTTTACTAGAAAAACTATCGTCAATGACACATAGGTCGCCACTCTGCAGAAACTGCACTTACCTCGCCTATCGTCACTAAAAACCACATAATACTGGTCAGAATTAAGATTCGTGGGGTTTGATTTGATAATATTAGTAGCTGAGATAATATTAATAGCCAAGATAAATTTAATTCATTATAGGTAAGAAGCATTTTCGATCGTGCTGGAAAATTGTACCTCAGTTTTGTAAGCAAAATGAATCATTTCTTTCAAAGGCCTACGACATGAGTGCTGAGGCGATGCAATAATCGCTTAGAACTGAACAGGTTTCTTATGATTTGAATTGATTTTAGATCAAAAATGTAGATAGATCAAAATAGATGAAAATTTGTCTTCGTGGCGGAGCAAAAAAATTCATTCATGATTTAAAAGGTTCAAGTTTTCTGGTATCGAAATTTGTTCATTCCTGTAAACATTTGCGTAACATGGCTCAAGACTCTCATATGCTACACGCAACTTGTAAAAGACACTAATTCCTGAATATAATTTTATGTGTATGTGTTGAGAGTGTGAAGGTTTCATTAATAATGAAATAGAGTAAATCTTCACAAAATCCATATCAGTTTCTGAGTTAATTTATAATTCCGTCCTCGCTTCAGCACTGTGCAAATTTCGCCAGTGCGAGCGACACGTTCTAATGCCGCGATTTTTGGCTCTGGGACGACCACGAAATGATTAAATATTTTCTCGTCTTCAAACTATATTTTTTCATCCATCGAACTGAACATTTTCTTCTCGTGTCGATTGTGAATGACACCACCGCCAGTTTGCTCATGATGTGCAGAGTTTATGTTAAGACAATATATATCCTGCTACATTATACATTCACTTTATATGCAATGTCGCATGTCTGACTGATTATATCCTATCATAGGATATAATATGTATCTATATCTATCTTTTATAACATGTTGTTGTTGTTGTATAAGCCGTCATTTTGTTATTGTCGCTTGTAAATACTGGTAATGTACTATATATTCGACGCAATAAGCTTGTACTTGATTCATGTGTCGTGCCTTAGGTTATCGCTACGTTGTCGTGGTATATGAACTGTCATAATTTATATGTCTTATCACATAATCATTTCTACTTACGATGTAGGTAATGAATCATTCCATGCGTTGAGAAGCCATATTTATCTTCAACTAAATGAGTCATTTATTGAGTACGAGAATTCAGGCTTTAATTATGCTCTCTACTTTAAATTTTCAGACATTTTACCTGCGCTCTTTAAGTCTCTTCGAGTTTTGACCTTATCTTTGATCCTTACCTCTGACCTTACTTTTGTTCAGCCCTTAACTTTGTTCAGACCTTGCATAGAGTAATTCAGACCTTACATTACTTCACACATGACCTTAGTTCAAATTGCCTGTACCCTATCAGTTCATCGTTCAATTCAGACCTCGTATTATTTCCGATTGCCTGTATCTTTTCGATGAAGCCGTGAAATTGTACTTCCATTCCGTGTAGAAATTTCCCTGCCGGCTATCACTAGTATTTACATGCAGTACCTGTTTCATTCAAGAATGTTCTAATGTGACGAAAAACTCGCCTTTTCCAGTTATGCCTGACTCGTTTCTCACTTATGATTTGGAAACGAATGTATTGTCTGGCCTAAATATCGAGTCTTTGAACGCTGCAAACGAGTGATCATTCCTACTGTTGGCTAGAAGGCCTCTTCTTAGGCTCAACTATCACTTAGAAAGTCAATATAATTATAGTGTTTTATGTTTATTTATTAAGCATAAGTATGACGCGTTGATCGCTGTAGCAGTCGTGCGACTTGGCGCAATGCTTACTAATTTGTTGCAAAAATTAACTTTGTGAGGATTCACGTGGTCGATTATTTTAGTTTGAGACATGTGCAAGATTGACTTCCGACATTTTGAGTCAATGTCTTGTACGGCAGTACCAGACACTCGAAGTTAATTAGGATGTTTATATTCTTTTTAAATAAATTCTTATCGCCTCAGGGCTCATTCCATTTTTCTAGGAGTTTCGTAACTAAAACAAAAGCTTATGTCTATGCATATAAGTCTACGACTTTAACACTTTAGAATTTTATTTAAGTGAAACTTAATTAGTACTTTTGGACGGCAAAACTACTTTTTTCTGATGAAAAGCGCAAATGCTAATTTCTCTATTATGTGATCCTGGGAAACTTTTTTCGTTAACCACTGGGCCCATTCAAACGTGCCTTTCTTTTAGAAGGAGTGTATTTAAAATCCTTGATTTTCTAACCATCGAAACCCCGTTTCCATTTTTCAGGGGTACTACCGCTTTCAATAAACTTAAGACAAGCTAAAGCTGTAAAAATGTACTCGGTTCTCGCTCGGCTTCTACTTTGAGTTCCTGTTTCTAGCCAGGCATTCGAGATGAGAATGTCTGAATTAGAAACGCTTTAAATCTGAATCTGTGATACGCATATCCAGTCAATGTTCTGGTGGCCATCTTGTAATGAAGATATAATGTGGACCCGTCCCGCTCTCCCCGTACCGTTAATGGAACTGAAGTTCCTGTTTCTTGCAGCCAATGTTGTAAGTAATATTAATTTTTTCTAGAAATAATTATTGTGTCTTCAAGTATTGATAGGCTGAGCGAACAATTGTTAAGATGGGAACTTCAAATTCAAAAGATTGAAGCATCGTTTGAACTCTGGAATCAGTGCCTTAACTTCGGATAACACGATCCTTAGATGATTCACTAATTTCTTGCGTATACTTGTTTATGCCTATCTCGTTGTACAGGAAAAATATTCATGTAAGAAATTGAACACAGTGGAATTGTCGGCTGAACGATATTCGTTTTCGCTGAAGCTTTCAAACTCGATTGCTGGTGCGGTGGTGCCTAAATTCATCACGCGACTTTATTTTTTCGAATCAAGCGTTGCTTGAACATATTTTTCGAACCTGTAATCAATGTTTAGTCATTGAGATAGGCCATGTGGCTCTATTGAACTTTTTTTCTGTTAATGAGACGAATGTTGTGAATTTGTATCAGCATGTTTTATAGAGAAAATTTCAGCTTTTCGTCTTCACCAAACGACACATTGCTCACGAGTTCTTGAGATCTGGATTTTTATTTCGGAAACTGGGACATTATCCTGACCAAGCGACCAAGACAGTTTCTTCTGATTTTTGTAATGTAAGCTGCATTACAATTCCCATAAAATGTTTGTTTTTAAATTACCCAAGTACACGTGTGTGTAAGGAGCATAAAATAGAGGCGAATGATTTATGCATATGCAGCTGGATTCGTTAATTGCCTGCTTGGTTTGAGCTAATAGCTATTCTTCGGTAGTGCCAGTTATTATACCAGTTATTTTTGTGCGAGTAATTTCGACCTAATAATTTTCTATCAATTGCTTAACGATCTACTGCATGAACGCCGAATTACTAACGTTCAGCAACAATTATTCTATCTAGCTGGATATACTTTCTTAACAAAAAGGATACAAAATTTTCTTTCAAAAGTGATTTACTGCGTAATTACATTTGTACAAGCATAAAATTATCGACATTTTTGGGAGAAGCTACACCAGTCCAATCTGAAACGGAAATATGCTTAAAGATATATCGTCGTTGGCGACACACTCGGCCAGTATGCTGTGATAACGTTTCCTCAATACGATGTGTCAAGCGCTCTCATTACATCGCAAACTTAGCAAAATATGGCAAGGATTAATACAAAACACAGCACGGGACATTAAATCATCGATTACGTCGGTGACATCAAAGAGCGACCTAGCTTTCCTCATACTTCCCGACAACGTATAATGTACGAACGCATTACTGAATCTACCTTGTCAAACAAGTCAATACGATAAAGCTGAGTCGTAAGCTGTCTGATTTGTTCAAGATGTAGTGGACATCAAATGTATTCATCGAATGAGTATCCATGCAACATTTACGAAACTTGTCCCTCAATGAAAAGCGAGATGAATAAAGCTGCGGATTACTAACGCATACGCGCACGCGTCATACAATAATGAATTTTATATGTAGGCAGGGAAACTAATATTGCGACGGCGCACACAAAAATTCACAGTAACGCAAACATTGCCGTCCAAGACGGCGTCACAAGCAAGCCTTTGCATTGCCGGGAGGTTAGTGGCTTCCCGTGGCGTTAAGAGCAACAAGAACAAGTTAACTATAACTTCATTGCGTCAGTGTGAAAATAATTGAACTAATGAGGGAAAATACGAGCGTGGCCCAGTGTTTCTCCGAGAAAATTACCAATAAATATTTAATTTCAATCAAACTAATATATACCGATATCTAATTGATTGCTGAAAGTAATTTCTTCGCAATTAAATCAGATCACATGTTATCAATTTTTAGGATCCATTTTTAAACGAGATATTCACAGTAATTTGAATAAAATAGCCATCAGAAAACAAAGATTTGGGACATTTCTATATAACGAAGGAACCTTCTGAATAACATGACGAATAGGCTTAAAAAAAATCAAATAAGATTTGATAAGAACACAACAGTTCATCAATTTGACGTTACGGGCGTTGATGTAACGAAAAAACGCATATACGAACCACAACAAATCTTAAGACACAGACGCGGACTTGACAAGAAATATTGCAACACATATTCCACGAATGGCAAATTATATTATATTTCAAGTCTATAGAAATAGCGGACGAGATAATCTAAATTCAATAATTAGTCTATGAAAGGGTAGAGAATTTCAACGCGCAACTACAAAAAATAAAATACAAGTATTTTCGTTACATTGAGCCAGTAAAGAGTATAAGTGGTACCATAGATACGGCCTGCAATACGTGTTGTGATACATGCAATCCATGCACATATTGTGACACATACGTATGATAAATACACGTGTATGTGACGCGTGATACATACACGTGTATGTGACGCGTGATACATACACGTGTATGTGACGCGTGATACATACACGTGTATGTGACGCGTGATACATACACGTGTATTGACACATGTAGCGGTTTCTCCATATTTGCACGAGGAATAACGAATGTTGAAAATAAACATAACAACAAACCTAATGTAATCTTTGGACAGAGGTTTACACTCAATCAGAGACAGTTTAAGAAGGAAACGTAACTTATAAAATAAGGTCAATCAAGGGATAAACAGGGAAATAAATAATGTTCAGCAGCTGGAATTTCTTAGGAATATTCGTAAATCAACGTGATGAATGAGCACTTTCAATGAGAAGTTTCATAATTAACTTAAATCTGGAAGCTACAAAGTGACGACCCCTGCATTGACGGGGCAGAGGCATAAACAAATGAGAAGTCATAATCGCGGTTCTAAATGCGACGTCTTGCAGCCATAGATAAAGTTAGATCTTCTAACTAGTACTCCGAATCTATTCGAACAACTACAGACATAAGTAGATTTTATACGTCTTGATTAATTACAACGACTTTTCACAGGAAGATCCCTTGTTACAGATCAATAGATTAGCTATAGGACAGTCAAGGCGGGATAAATCAAGTTAATGGTAGGCTATAATTCACAAGGATCACAGCAGCTCAGTTATCAATGGAGTTTAGCGCAAAATTGTTTTGTAAGTCAAAGCAATCAAGGTGCGAAAACTTGAGCAGGGCAGACTTCGAACTTAGAACTAAAGGAGGAACCTGCTTGCACCAATACTGAACATCGAATCTTTCCGAACTTTCCGGCAGGAAATTCATGAACCATGCACCTTGAGAATGAGGAGCTAAGAATCTACCGTCGCTTAATTAAGAGCAAACAATTTACGATAGAAATGAGCACTCATCATATTTGATTTTCAGCCACCTGAAAGAATCCTGAAACAAAATGAAATATAAAAGGAGTTTAGATCAGATCTGATAAGATGACAAGAATGGCGAAAAAACAATTGAAAGAGTAACATAGAATTTCTACAGTCCTCAAAAATTCACGTATCTAACTGAACACTACAAGGTTATAGGCTCCACACAAGATTCAAGTGAACATCAAGTAGGACATCATAGGCAAAGGGATTGATTTCAATACAGTAGAAAGCCTTGGAAGCTCTGGGCGAAGACGAGCACCTTGGAAAGAGCTTGTAAGGAAAGCACCACGAATCGTTCCTTAAGGATTACCTATGAGGAGAATCACAGTGTTTGTGAAACAAGCAGAGCACAAATCCTAGGATAGATTTTGATTTAAGATGCTGAGATCAATCGATCTCACCGGAATGACACGGGAGATTTTCGTATAAAAATTCGGCGTCCCGTAATTTTAGTATTAAAGTCTGAAACATTTTCTGAGTTTTGTCGCAAAAAAAATAAATAAAATCACTCTTGCCCTTTTCACACCAAATGTACAAGTTTCTACAACAGAAGCAACGTATCAAAACACATATAAAATGAAGTAATGCTCTGCTTTTAAAAATTGACAAAAAATATAATTGGGTTTAGGCTAAATAGGAACCGTAACGTCCCAGTCATCGAATTATTGAGCGTCATTTGAGTTTAACATTCGTTCTGGCGAGATGAGCCAGCAATACGTACGCAACTTTCTAGCTACCGGTAATTATTGATTATTTATGCCGTTTACATATACCTACATACCATTTCTCATAGGATATTTCTGTGAAAGTGACCAATGTAATGCAAAGACAATTACTAGCAGAAAATACATTAAAATTATCCAAGGCGGGCGCAGCCTCTTCTCACCATTAATACGATCGGCGCAGGTAAGGGCTTTACCAACACAATCTAAATAAGGAAGAAATCAGGCAGCCTCTACCCACCAGGAATAAGGTCAGCGTAGGCAAAGAAGACTTTTTTAGAATAATATAAATAAGAAATAAATGGGAAGAATATGCGTCACAGGGGCCGGCAGCGTACAAGGTGGCTGTGAGACATGTACTTAATATCAATGTAGATTCGCCATGGGTTATTCCTTCCACTGCCAGTCAGTTTAATGTTCAGCTTAGGGAAAATTTACCGGAATTTGCTTTTTACTCTGTAGCTACCGTGAGTCCTGGAATTATTGCTTTGACTGGCATCAGCTTATATAAAAAATAAATTTAACAAGATTGAGTTTCTCTCCAAACATTTTCTGACGCTGTCAACACAAAGAGTTCAATAGAAAGTATTACACAATTCGGACGCGAGACCATCTATACGCCAAAAGAATCAGAAGCTGAAGTTCACAGGCATTCATAGGGCTCGCCCAGTAAGCTCCGCACTTGAGTCGCTTCACGCGTTGCGATGTATGGATCGCTGCACGATGTATGGAAGGGTAAGCATAGCTGCCGATTTTGCGACACCTCATATCCCGCAGCGTGCGCGGCACATTATCATACACTAAACACTAGAGTATTCATTACAATGGACACTTAGCACAGTACAATAATGCAAATAGTTTGTCCTTAAATTCTACTGAAAAAGTAGTACACGGTCACCAAATCTCACTTCTACAGCAGCGCCTCGGTAAAGCAAAATTTTTTGTTGAGAAAATCCAGAAAGCTATGAATTTTCCATTTCTACAAAAAAAAACATAAATGAAATCAAGTACCGGTAACACTTCTCCGCTCTGAATTAAAAGTTTGAAGCTCAATTTACAAATGAAGGCAACAAATCTCTTTGTCTTACACTCCTCTAGCGTCACCCGTGTGCAAGCATTCCAGAATTTAAAGCAATGTAGGACACTGAACAACACTTCATGAATAAATATTGTCACTCGTGTTAATTTGAACAGCAATGTTCTTCAATGTCTCGAAGAAAATTAATCATTTTCAGTTACCGCAGGTGAATAAATCATCATGAACTTGAGTCACAGGTTGGATCAGCATTTGAATAACGGCGTCGGAACACATCCAGTGATAAAACTCCCCGGATGTGCTGGGGCTCCAAGAGGCACTGCTGCAGAACTGAGCACCGGGACCCCACTGTCATTTTCAATGGTCTCTGCAGGGGCTAAACTTCATTCAAGTGACACTACTGGTAGCCGGGCTAGTCCAATATCATAAGCATGCTAATTAAAGTTAAGGTATAAAACAGTAATACTAAAATGAGAAGGCGAAGCCTCCACTTATCGTCATGATAATTAGTTCCTTAATAGATAATATAAGTCCATAGATGTTTCTTTCCGAAGCATCGGTCTTGAACTTTGAGTCTGCAGAAACGCTAAAGAGAATCACTTTACTACCGTTTGGGGGGTCGGTATAGCAGCATCGAGTGAACAAAACAAAATCATCCATTGTAACAAAAGCGATTGGTTCTAAACACAAAATGTCTTTGCATAAGATACTCTCGAGATGAATAAATCTGTAATTATTATTCATATACATTATCACTATGATTCAAAATGAATTTAGCATGAATGAGTGACAATATTGCTGCATATTGTGGACAAAGCTGCACTCTGTAGAACTGCAGTCACGTATTGAGGGCATACGTACGGCGACGCTAGGACATGAATTATTATCATCCATGATAATAATTACAATGAATTATTATCCATGAATACAAAGTCTGGCAATCATTGATGCAAACTGTTGTGCTTGCATGAATGGTACAGTACCTTCATAAAGAGCCGTAAAAGGTAAAATATTGAGGGTAAATTGAAGTTAATTTGTAAGCTAGCTTCAGTTCCAAGACGAGCCTCACTTCACACCATTCCATTGACGACTAGATGGCATTCCTAATCAGAGCTTCTTATACGTACTTATACGTAAATAGCACATCAACTCCACACAGTACCCTGCAAATACCTTCATTTACTGTATGCTGCTCACGAAAAAAATATTCGGGTATCGATTTCCATACTGAAACGCACACTTGATAATTTATAATGTTACCTCAGTTTCGCGGCTGACTAAATATACTCAACGTCTCAGTGGTCGGCCACATAATTTTTGCAGAACTTGTTCACACAAAGCAGTCTCTGGCAGTACAGTTCACGGACACGGTTCAATCTAACGTAAAGCAGTCCCTGGCCAAAAGTTTTACTCTCTGAACTCCAGAATTTTATAGCACATTGAATAATCCACTAGTCAAACTGAAATTAAATTACACATTTTGCAAGAAAGAACCTGAATACATTTTCCATCCAATTCGTTTATCATTCCAACGAATTACTGAAAATTGTAAAGGGAGATACTTCCTCGATATTTATAGAATTCACTTAATAATTTGTTCACTTATCAAAGCATTAATCATCTCTTGATCACGATTTTAAATACTAGGATGATCTAGATCATAAGCGTTAAAAGCCGTAGTCTCCACATTGTCATTCACTCGGTAATTAGCAGCAATCAAAAGATGAAGGGCAATCGTTTTTTTATCTTGAACACAATCATATAAATTACTGATTTTGTCCTTATTCGTGAGCATTACATTCGAAGATGAAATCCTTAGACTTCATTAAAGGACATCGGATTCGTTCGGAATGAAGCTCGAGACTTCATCCAAGGGCACAGATAGGGAAAGAAGCGAGCCTTATAACCTCGGCAAGGGCCTAACAAGATAAAGTTTTTCTCCTTTTTGGCTGGTGTAAATAGGCGAGCGCTGGTAGTGTTCCACGAGCTGGTCAAGATTGTTGAACTTGCGTTGACCTATGCAGTAGAAGCCAGACTCCACGTGAACCCTGAAATGCTTGTTGCGGTTTGATGCTTTCAGCGATACACTGAAGTCGCCAGCCTGCAAAACATTTATAATATTATCAACTGTGTAAGTCAAATAATCAAGTTATTGTACTAAGATTACGATCGTAGCACGGATGTTTTCACGTCATTAAGATAAGGTTCAATACCAGCTGGTATTGAACCAAGCGAAAAAATTAATATTAATATAAAATTAATTAATACAAAATAATATTAACAATTTTTTGAATGTCGGACACGAGACGACCAATACTATTTATTTAATATGGGTAATTTTTATTCGAGTATATACGTCAAACGTTGATTTGATACCTGATGAAGCAAGACTTGATGAAGCAACAAATGAACAGGAATTGTTTTTCATATTTCAGCCCTAATATATACTTTGGGAGGATGTATGGTGGAAATAATTGTCTGGTGGAATTGAAGAGGACACAAATTTCACTTGGGGGCCAAATGAAAGAGGCAGAATGTCTCAAATGGCTGAGACACACGACTCATAGTAGCCAAAAAGTGACGTTAGCATCAGAAAGAAAATACAAAGATGCAAAATTGACACCAAGAGGCGATGTGCAGGATATGTAAAGACAGACAAAGAGTAAAACCAAGAATCCTGCTCATTGACCTATAATGTGGATACCTGGTGTAAATTCATGAGCTTGGCATTAGTCTCGGAATCCCTAATGAGGTACACAGAAGCACCAGGTGCCTCACGTTAGTCTCGGAGTCCCTAATGAGGTACACATCACCACCAGGTGCCTCACGTTAGTCTCGGAGTCCCTAATGAGGTACACAGCAACACCAGGCGCCTCACGTTAGTCTCGGAGTCCCTAATAAGGTACACAGCAACACCAGGCGCCTCACGTTAGTCTCGGAGTCCCTAATAAGGTACACAGCAACACCAGGTGCCTCACGTTAGTCTCGGAGTCCCTAATAAGGTACACATCACCACCAGGCACCTCACGTTAGTCTCGGAGTCCCTAATGAGGTACACATCAACACCAGGCGCCTCACGTTAGTCTCGGAGTCCCTAATGGGGTACACATCACCACCAGGCGCCTCACGTTAGTCTCGGAGTCCCTAATGAGGTACACATCACCACCAGGCGCCTCACGTTAGTCTCAGAGTCCCTAATGAGGTAGTCGCCGTCATGGCCGCGGGTGTTGAGGAGTGTGTCGCACTGGGCGCGCGAGATGGGACCGTAGTACCACTCCTTGGCGGCCAGCGGCATGCCGCTCTTGTCTACACCGCCACCGCCGCTGATGGACAGGCCGCTCACGCCCTGCGATTGAGTTGCCACGTCAATATGAAACTAGAATTGCAAACTAAAGTTGCAAACAACTATTGCAAACTAGAATTGGAGCTCGGATGATAGCTTGACTCTTGCCAGCATATAAAGTTATTCGTTTGTAAGAGTACAAACGCTAACATTATTGTTGACCATCTTTATGGCAAGAAGAAAAATTAGGCGGCAGACCAGAGAAAGGATGACTTTCATCCATGTTAATTTACATACGAAATGATCATGAGCATAAGTTCAGATAGCTTGATCCCGTGCGTAATTTTGTACGATTTGATCATATGCATAACTTATTACGGTTTGATCACATGTGTAATTCAGTATAATTTGATCACATGCATAACTTGTAACTTCGCACGGGTTGATCATAAGTGTAGATCAATACGAGTTTACGAAATTAATAACTTAATAAGGCTTGATCATATGCGTAACTTAATACGGCTTGAGTATAAGCGTAACTTAATACGGCTTGATCATATGCTAAACTTAATACAGCTCGATCATATGCGTAACTTAATACGGCTTGATTATATGCGTAACTTTATAGGTAATTTAACGCTTCAAACACAAAGGGATGGCGTCAGGCAGAGTGCGGGGCATGCGTGTCACCTGGGTGACGTGTGCGGCATCAGACGCCCCGTGGGAGCCGCCGTTGGTGGCGGGGGGCGCCTGAGAGGATCTGGCTGCAGTGTTCGCGTTCCCTCCTCTGCTGGGCGTGCGCGTGTCCACGACCTCGTGTAACTCCTTCACGTAGTTACGCGGGATCAGACCAACCTGACGAACAAAGACTCATTAAAACCAAGCTGCATGAAGACTTATAGCAATAGGTGAGAATGAATTAAATACAAAGTACATGAGACAAGCAAAAATGTAACAAATCTATGAGTAAATCTTTTGGCATCATGATTTATTTAAAGAAAAATTGCGGTTCTGATATTATCTTATAAGGTAAAAAGCTTCGATGTTGCGCGCTCTGTACCACTCTGCATATTGAGACAACTCTAGCCAAATACTATGAGTGTACCGGTGTTCCAACACTCACCTCTCTTTGCGTGTTGCGCGCTCTGTACCACTCTGCATATGGAGACAACTCTAGCCAAATACTATGAGTGTACCGGTGTTCCAACACTCACCTCTCTTAGCGTGTTGCGAGCTCTGTACCACTCTGCAAATGGAGACAACTCTAACCAAAAACTATGAGCTTATGATGAGTTTAGGACGTCGTAGTCCAAGGTCACGCTGATGCGCCGCCTTCGTCGTCCTCCGTCTCCGAGTCGTCGTCGGATGTAACGTTGGGCGTGTTCCGTCTACCGATGTTTCAACACTCACCTCTCTTTGCGTGTTGCGCGCTCTGTACCACTCTGGGTCAGAAGGAGGCCGGTCTAAGATTTCCATGCGGTCTCCTTTACTGAAGCTCAGCTCATGTTCGTTCTGTGCCGTGAAGGTGTAGAGAGCCACCACGACATCAAGGACGTTCTCGGCCACGGTATAGGTATGGTCCTCGTCAGGAGGCTCCTCAGTCGTGTAGTTTGAAGGGAACCACCCAACCGAACCGTTCACGTGGCCACGCCACCAACCATCGTTGCTTTTCTCTAATATCTGCACACGGCTGCCTGCAACGAAACCGCGAAAATCAAAATCTGATGAATAGTGCTAGAAATTAATGTCAGTAGACAATAGAATGAATAAGCAATAGACACCAGGGCGAAAATTGTAATGGTTTCGTAAAATGTGAAATCTAGATACGGACAAAAAGTTACATCCCACCTTATGGCTGGACACGGGATCTAACCAAATAAGGTGAACTTTAGTAGTCCAGTATTCTGATCAAAATTTAACTTAAACAATTTTATTTTAGAAGCTGGCTTCTCCATTGCACTTCTTGACGAATGACTGCTTGACATTGGGCATCAAATTTAGGATGAAATACAACTATCAGAAACAAATCAAATCGATAAAAGTAGCAACCATTCAAGAAAAAATAGCAACTACTATATGAAAAATATGGCTTATTCAAGAGCCAGCTTTGAGGTTATGGCAAGTAAATGCAGCTTTAGACACGCACCTTTGTATTCAAGAGCCAGGTTTGAGGTTGTAGCAAGTGAAGATTCGAGGTTATGGTTCGAGTTTATGGCTCGAGGTTATGGTTCGAGGTTATGGTTCGAGGCTATGGTTCGAGGTTATGGTTCGAGGTTATGGTTCGAGGTTATGGTTCGAGGTTATGGTTCGAGGTTATGGTTCGAGGTCATGGTTCGAGGTTATGGTTCGAGGTTATGGTTCGAGGTATGGTTCGAGGTTATGGTTCGAGGTTCAAGTGAAGGCAGCTTTAGACACGCACCTTTGTCAAGTGAAGGCAGCTTTAGACACGCACCTTTGTCAAGTGAAGGCAGCTTTAGACACGCACCTTTGGCTAGCGAGAGCTCGTCCATCTGCTGCGCCTGGTAGTTATACTTGACGACGGCGTAGCCGATGGCGTCTGATAGGTCCACGGGGGCGCCGCCCTTACCCAAGCTGTCCCCATGCGTGGGGGTGCCACTGCCTCCCGACATCTTAGTCCCCCCACCTACGCTGCTCCCCTTCTTTACGCGCTTCTTAATGCTGAAAAATAAGATAATATTACATAAAACGGCACCTGGTATCTATATTGCACAGAGTATACTCAAATATAAAATTATTTAGTGATGGTTAATACGATTACAGCAATCACGAAAAGCAATGGGATATTCTAAAAAGTTATACAAGAGTTTTTGTCCGGATTCGGGGGCAAAATAACAATTTTTGACACGTATCGAGGTATGTTTTATATTAAAAAATATAAGAAGAAATAACGATAGCACCAATTGTTTGGGGAACTTATAACTAAACATTGTACTAGTATAAAGAATGAATGGCCTGATCTGGCATCTACTATATACTGCTACAGTGAACTGCCTCCTCTTCTCTGTTGACGCTACAAACAAATCAACATTTTAAGCTTAAGTATAGCAGACGCTGTTGATTCTTTCGACGATGAGTGACTTGAAAATACATTGCAAGAAAAATTATTCATGTCCGCAAAATCAGTATCGGCAATTACAAAGTAAGCTATAATATTAAGTGGTATTGTGCTCATACATGAATAATGGGAAGCAAGAGACTCGTGGACCAGATACTTACTCTGGGAGAAAGTTCATACCGCCGAAGAGATTTGGCTCGCTCAATACGGTGCACGTGATGCTATGAACCGTCCGAGAATCATTTTCTTCACTCACAGAAATTCAAGTTTACGTTAATTTCCAGAGCATACAAACGCAGTTAGAGTCACTATAGTTTCTGCATTAAATTTTGACGATTTTGGTTACTCAGTTGAGGCACAGAGCCCTTTTCAAGATTTGACGATGGTTATTTTTTGGTAAAGCACATCTTCTTCGATAATCGATAAGGTTTAAAAGCTAAAACTATATCAAAATAGATAAACGTGCTAAAACATTGTTTATGGAGTTGTCATACAGAATTAGAAAAGAAAAGCCTCGAATATTCAAAGGGCTCGGCTTGAATATATATCTGTATATCTGTAAGCATTAAACGCTTTCTTTCTTAATACTCGTACATTCGAAGATCAGTTTCAGGATCTCTAGCAATTAGAAAACTCCACTAATTGTTTTTTTTATCCTGTTGAAGAAAATCACAGGCAAAAAGCGAGAAAAATTAGCAATCCTTTGCGTACTGCCAGCCCTGCATGAAAAAAGTTTTCCCGTTATGCAGACAGCGTGATAAACACAAGACAGAATACTAGCGTAATCACGGTTTGATTCATTTCATTCATCACCACCAATACAACAAATAAAGACATTTACACTTGAACTAGATTTGAGTATAAAATGCTAATAAGCTTTTCTATTAGCATCAATGTTGCGGGTCATTCGGTGAAAGGAACTAACCAGCAAACATATAAATTCCATCACAAGTTGCCAGGTAGGAGGGAAAGGGCGGCGAAATCGTTTACTGCAGCGTCAGGCTATCAGCAACACTCAGCAATACCTCATCGTGGAAACTATTTATGTGCCTTTCTTTGCGCTAATCCGACACAAAAACAGCAAACAACTACGAAAAATCCCTAAAGTAAGGATAATCCCTTCAGATAATTAGAGCAAGACGAGAACATTTCCCCATGTATATCGTGAAACGGCTGCATTGCGTACGTGTTTCACACATTGGCATTCGTCCTGAACACCAATTTTCTTTCTCTTATCTTGCTGATGCTCGATTAATATACAAAACCAGAATTATTTATTCACCATGTTATTCAGTACGAGTACTGTGCAACGTGTGCATATATGACATGGATTGTAGAGCTGAGGAGAGGGTGTTGGGGCATATGCATGACTCGCACTCCCCTCACGTCTGCCTCAAGCGCTCCCCTCAACTCCCCCTGTATTGATCGCTTCAACACGCATCAAGTGCACGCAATCGGGCCGCTCCGTGACCACGCATCAAGACGTTTACGTGACCAATGCTACGTGCCATACCTACAACTGCCGGGCGACTAACATGCTCATCGTTCACTCGATCTTTATTTACCAATTCACATTTGAACTATCGTGCACTTCGCATATCATCATTTTTCATTAGCAACCGTAAGAGACGTAAGATGCTTCAGTTACGACAGGCAAGTACCGTGCATTAAATTACATTATCAATCAATCAATTTGACGTATTAATTATTTATTAAGGCAATAACATTTGGTAAAAGATAAACAACGAGTTCAGGATATAATGTCTGTCCTTGATGAATAAGTCTTTCGTCCGACGCCGATAGCCAGCCAATAAATTTCAATTGATGACGAGTTGCGAGAGAACATTGTTACGGGCTGTGTGAAGATTGTTTGCAAGTTATCCCTCAGAAAATAAATCAAACTCAACAATTAAGCATTTATCGATTTAAGACATGCCTTCATATTTAAAATTTGATAACCGTAAGACCATTTCAAGATCAAGAATTATCAAACTATCATCACAATAGCAGTGTAATGTTTAATAAAACATAATAAACAATTAAACATAAATTGACTCGTTATATAACGCCAAGTTAACCATTTTTATACCCAAATTAACATATAAAAGCAAAATTGAAAATTTAGCATGTTAATAAAAGTTTATTTAAAAGCAAGATAGATACCAAGCGTGATAATTTAAGTAAGTGTATACGACTACGAGTATAGAAGAACTAAGCAGAGGTGTCAGTATTAGAGAACAGGGGCCATACCAAAACTCGCTAAGTTAGCGTAAATACTTACGCTCTATTTTCTTGTCTATGATTGGTGGATTTTGTTTGAAAGGCCGTCAATGATTGGCTGATAAACTTACGATCTCTTAACTTTTTTTGAAAGTATATATACAGGTCGGCACTCGATTAGCGTTCACAAGCCGTTATTACAACAACAATTTATAAGGCGAGCTCACAGCTGAGAAGGCACACGGTCTCGCGAACACACGGTCTCGCGAGCACTCGGTCTCGCGAGCACACGGTCCCGCGAGCAAACGGTCTCGTGAGCAAACGGTCCCGCGAGCACACGGTCTCGCGAGCACACGGTCCCGCGAGCACACGGTCTCGCGAGCAAACGGTCTCGCGAACACACGGTCTCGCGAGCACACGGTCTCGCGAGCACACGGTCTCGCGAGCACACGGTCTCGCGAGCACACGGTCTTGCGAACACACGGTCTCGCGAGCACACGGTCTCGTGAGGACACGGTCTCGCGAACACACGGTCTCGCGAGCACTCGGTCCCGCGAGCACACGGTCTCGCGAGCACACGGTCTCGCGAGCACACGGTCTCGCGAGCACACGGTCTCGCGAGCACACGGTCTCGTGAGCACATGGTCTCGCGAGCACACGGCCTCGTGCTCACACGGCCTCGTGCTCACACGGCCTCGTGCTCACACGGTCTCGTGAGCACACGGTCTCTTTCGTATCGTGACCGGAATGAACAACGCAGGTGCGAGCAATACGAGTAATACGTGCACTGAATAAAGCAAGCCTCATAACCTAGCGACGCGTGCATTACGATTTACCTGATCGCAAATCCATAGTGGAAGTAACATTTTAAAAAATATATATACAACGATATTTTGCAAAAGTGATTTGAATAAAAATTAATGTTGCAGCCGAATTATTACTCACTGAATTTTTTCGCAAGAAGCGCTATTACGACTTTGTAGTGCTCCTTTTCAATTGAACGATTGAAATTTGAGCCTCGACTGCTTATACTTGTAATTTAAAATTACGGAATTCCAAAACTTCAAATTTAATTATGTTCGGAATACGGCGTACGTAAACGATAACGGCATAATAAAATCCGTTACCATGAACAAAAAAAAATAAGAACTGTATAATAAGTGCATACTTTTAATAAAATGAGATCGTACACGGCCATTTCAAATAATACGAGTACCGTATCAATGCATTTATGAACTGAATCCCACGATATAGAAGTGAGAGCATTGGGAAGATGGCCAATTTAAGCGAAGGGAATAGCTGATAACAAGATAGCATACAAGAATGAGATCGTGAAATGCAAACAATGAACAGAATATACACTGTTAGAAAAAACGGTCCCACCGGCATCCTAGTGGCCGGTCGCCCCGTGAAAATAAACTGTTTCGCCGTTTTTATCAGATGTTTTACGGATTTCTGGTGTTAAATTGGAATAAAAACGGTGAAACGGTGTTTCTCTTCACGTGCCAACCGGCCACTGAAACGCCGGTAATACCGTTAACGGTCATTTTTCTAACAGGGCACCAGAGTTTATCCCAAGTTATACCATGTAGTCAAGACAGTACATTTATTGCCGGAACGATATTAATGCCCTAAACATACCAGGAAATGCCAGCACCTATGCATCCGGAAATTGGTGAGAAATAAACACGATAAAAGTTATCTCCTTAAGAAACCAACCAATGGAGATAAGAACCAATCATCAGTCAAAGAAACCAATAATCAGACAACCAGAAATAATTTATCAGTCGCACTGTATATGATTGCACTGCCATCAGGACAGTGAGGCAATGCGAGACACGTGATCACAATCGTGGTGTTCTCCGTAATACCAAATGACGATGACGTTTTCCCATGCTGAAAGTTCATCATGAACAGACTTAGGCATAACAATAAGGAAATTTTATGCAAAAGATCTGACGAACCAAAGAACCCGGAGGGACATATCAGAATTACTCACGGTCCAGGACTGGCGGGCAGTAAGCTTGAGGCGGCTTGACTCAATCTAAAGTGCAGAAAAAGAATGTTGCCAATGAGTTGATGCATTCATGTTGTTGGTTGTGTGCCTGTCTTAATGGCCATGATGAGGGGGTAGTATGGTTAGCTGAATGCTATCGTGCAAATAGTTAATGAATCATAACGATACTACTTGCAGTGGATTAGTTCACAAATAAAGTGAAGTCTTATCATTGGAATACTTGTGAACTTCATGTGATGCAAGATATTATTAGCATACTGACTGTGATGGCTGATAAGTAGAAGCTAAAAGTTCAGCCTATAACGTAAGAAATGAACACAAATTACATATTAAAAAAATAGAATGAAGTCAATATCCGATTAAACAGCAAACAACTGTAATTAAAAATTTGGAGAGTTCTCGCGTGTCGTTTATACAACTAAATGCATCGTTTCACTGTAATTGCCCGAATGTATTTTCAGTGATATTTCAAGAGAAAAATAGTCTTGTGTTTAAACTAAATTGAAACGTACTTCGTGCGCCAGATAACTGGAGTAACGCCCATGGCCTTTTGCGAAGCAAAATTGTAACCAACGACTCGCTACGAAATGCTGGATTCTCCATCAATAAAATTTTATTTTTAGTAAATAAAACTTGATACTTGAGAAATTACGTAACAGCCATAAGATGTGAATGAAAGCATGCGGAACACGTGCACATTACAGAACATCAAATTCAAATGCAAGTAACATCAATTATCGAACAAAATAAATAAAAATAAACAAGAATTTTCGTTTTTTCACTCAAGAGAGAGTATAAGCTATTCATATAATGAGGAATGTTGTGAGCAAAAATCTAATCCATACCTAATATATGGATTCTTGACACCCATTGCACTTCTCTAAGTCAGTCAACTCAAAACTGAAAGAGCAAACGATCGAGTGGCAAGTTCATGCTGAACGAACAAACCATCGTGTGGCAAGTTCATGCTGAACGAACAAACCATCGAGTGGCAAGTTCATGCTTACGAACAAACGATCGAGTGGCAAGTTCATGCTGAACGAACAAACGATCGAGTGGCAAGTTCATGTCACAAAACAACGTGCAAATGACGCCAGGGAAACTCAGGCCATTCGAGCGACGCGCAACGCGGGAAATCAACACAAAATCGAAATAGACATTCTTATAGAAATCAAAATTATTTTAAAGAAAAGGAACAAACTCGAAAAATTCTCCGGTGATCGATGTAAATTGACACCTTCAAGTCCACGACGCTTATTACAAGTACACTCGAGACGACATTCTCTAGACCTTCACCTTTTAACAACATAGACTACTACTAACATATTCTGCCAGCATACTACCCATGAATGCAACATATTCGGGCTCCATTCCATTATCATATACTGGCTATATACTAATACCATATACCGGTACTGGCTACATAATAATACATATTCTAGCAACATATTAATACTACATTTTTCTCATCTAATGACTAAATAGACAACTTGAAAAACTTGCATAGGTACTAAATATGAAATTATGTCTAACTATGCTAAACGCACGAAAATTATTCGTAATTCCTTATGAAATTATGTCTAACTATACTAAACGCACGAAAATCTTTCGTAATTCTAAGGCAAGAAAGGTGCACGCATTTTAGCGTTGTGAGCGCCTCATATAGAGGAGGTGCGCGTGGTAAACATCTGCTTAGGGCACATATGAGGTAAGCAGACAACGTAGCAAACACAAGCTGTGCACACACTGCTTATACAGCCTTTCGTTGTGTGCACATTAACACAGCTAAACACATCCGCGGCTAGGGAGCACACTAACGTATGTGATACAGCATTAGAATTATTCATACACGTACACGTGATCTATCTTCTGTCGTCGTCACAAGTCTCTTAACATTAAACATGTTCAGAAAATTTCATCCGAGCAGTTTTTGGATATCAAAGTGATTATAAAAATTTAAGGTGAAATTACAATTTGCTGCCTTTCTTGGATATTGACTGCAATAATGTACTTGATGTATTTTAAAGAAGCGGCTGAAAAAAATAAAAACGCTTAGGAGTCCAGTTCTATCGTCAGTTCGACAATCCTAGATTGTGGGTACAATAAATTGGTAAATCAAAATTAACATTGCAGGCATTGAAACCTAAGCTGGCAGCTAAATGACAAGTCAATATAAAATAATCACCAACAGACAGGCCTATAAAAAACGCTATGTATATTTGCACCTGCAAGAGGATAAGAACCTAACGCATTTGTAACCAACCTGCAGCAAGGCGCACAGGTTGGGTGCACTGAAAGAAGTCTGCGCGTTGAGCGTAGACCGCTAACGTGTCTAGATGGCTGAACAAAACTAAATGAACCGTCCAAAAATGTTCGTACGCCGTTTCCGTTCAATATATATAAAACTTTCGCTCGGGAGAAGCCACTTGGCGGATGTCGTCTTAGCCGGACATCAACATAAACGCTGAATTTGCCGGCAAGTTTTCACATAACATATATAATTACATTGCATCAATGTCAAAATAGTGATAGTATAATAACTTTAAAATGCCATGCAATAGTGTTTAAACGCACGGACAACATTCACATGCTTTATTGTTATCATCGTTGGCGTTTGTTTTGCCGCGAATAGAGAGGTGATTTGAATAGGATATGAAACACACAGCCGTTCGACTGCAGTCTGTGTTATTGCTGAGACAACTTGAAGATCATGGACGGTTAATTCAAACTCATGATTTCTAAAAATGTTTGTGTGTAGAAAGTGCGCCAAAAGATTAACCTGAAGCTTATGATATTATAGAATGTTATACCTAGGCTAGGTATATCTTGCACATGAATTATTAGACTTGTATTATTGAATACTTTTATTTGACTCTAAAGTTCTCAAATGCTTAAAATTTTAGCATTTTATGCCTCAAGCGTAAATTCTACATATAGTACTAACTAGCATTACATTTGTGACTCTGCGGGAATAGTCCTTATGATTCTTTTAAATAAAAATTTTTTTCTCAAGCTGCTTTATTTTCCGTCGTCAGTGCCGTTAAGCGCCGCCATTGTAAGCGCTCAATTCGACGCGTGCACAGGCGCCCGAACTACGCGCAGCGGCTGGCCAAGGTTTTTTTACGCGCCTTTGCCGCATGATTTTTACAAGCAAGAGTAGCGCTTTCGCGCGTCGCTGGAACGCAGTGATCTGTTTGAGTGTGCAAGCCAGGCGCGCAGGTTGGGTGCAAGCCAGGCGCGCAGGTTGGCGCAAAATGGAATCCCTTGCCAACGTTCGAACGCCTTGGTAACGCGATAACATCGCCACAACAATTAAGCGTCTAGACAAGATTCAACTTTGGTTGGCTTTCATGTTAGGACAACATTGAAGGCCTTGACTGCATTTCAGGCCTTGACTGCATTGAACGCCTCGACTGCATTGAGCGCCTTGACTGCATTGAACGCCTTGACTGCATTGAACGCCTCGACTGCATTGAGCGCCTTGACTGCATTGAACGCCTTGACCGCGGTAAAGGCTTTAACCTGTCTCTTATACACATCTAGATGTGTATAAGAGACAGTACCTGCAGTGCCTGCCACAACGATCTTCGCAGTGTTACTACCTGCTCTGCCTGCCCCAACGATCTCTGCAGTGTTACTACCTGCTCTGCCTGCCACAACGATCTCTGCAGTGTTACTACCTGCTCTGCCTGCCTGAACGATCTTGGCAGTGTTACTACCTGCTCTGCCTGCCACAACGATCTTCGCAGTGTTACTACCTGCTCTGCCTGCCTCAACGATCTTCGCAGTGTTACTACC